CATATCATAAGGAAGCTTGGATTAGGATCAGCAGAGGAAGGAAAGAAAATAGGCAGAAAGAGCATCATTCATTTACGATACACAGGTTATACTATATTATTGACAGAAAGCGGCAGTGAATTGAAACAACTCCTGATGAAAGTGAAAGATGTAAGTGCAAAAACAGGACTGCAGCTGATTGTTAAGAAAACAAAGATCATGAATACAGAATTAGACAATTTCATTGTAACTTCTTTCATAAAGAAATCAAAATTGTGAATGATTTTAGGTACCTCAGCTCAATCATCAATTTAAAGCAAGACTGCAGCCAAAAATTTGAAGAAGATTTGAAAGGGCATCAGTGAAGGTTTTAGGTGAGATAATTGAGTGTATGTAAGGATGTTTCACTGGAGTCCAGGGCCAAGATCATTCACACTATTGTATTCCCAGTCACAAGGTATGGGTGTCAAAGCTGGACAGCAAAGAAGCTGATAGGAAGAAAATTGACACATTCAAAACATGGTGTTGGAGGAGAGATGAGCAAATACCTTGGACTGACAGAAAGACAAACAAACAAGTGAGTTCTGGATCAAATCAAGCCAGAACTTTCCCTTAAAGCCAAAATGACAAAACAGAAGCTATCATACTTCAGGCAAGACTCATTGGAGAAAATAATCATGCTAGGGAAAGTTGAAGGCAGAAGAAGAGGAGAAAAACCAGCTATGGGATGGCTCAATTCCATAAAGGAAGCCACAGCCTTGAGCTTACAGTTGCTGCGCAGGACTGTAAAGGACAGGACATTTAGGATGTCATATACTGTTGCCATAAGTCAGGACTACTTGATGGCACATAACAGTAGAGGTATGACCTGTAAGTTGCCTTAATTCTCTCAGAAGAGAATTGTGTGTATCAAATGTGTCAATTACCATTTATGGCAACTCAGGATACTAAATTTTTGGTTATTTATGTGAGTGTGTAGAAGTGGTATGGAAATTCCACAAGGCCTTAGAAAACCGCTTGGGCAAGAATGAAGACACTCAGCACACACAACTGTACTCATTTACAGTAAGTAAAAAAATGCAAAGTAGCCAAGCACTTGCATGAACATACAGATTTAAAGACATACTAACCAAAGCTACAATTTTTAGTTGAATAAAAGCATGTTTATGCTGAGCATCAGAATGTCTCTATGAATATCAGGGGTGCTCTTCTGCAAACCTCTATAATCTTAATCTTCCTGGCACTGTGGACCTATTCTAATTAAGGTCACATGGTATAGCATATTGTATTCAGATTTTCAAATGAATGATAAGTTGTGTTTTCACATCTTGCCTACTATGAAAAACTCTCCATTCTTGTAGAAGCATTGCTAGTGCCAACTCAATCATATTTGCTACGTGTAGACACTAAAAGGAAAGAAATCCTAAAACTCGCTTAAATTTTTTAAATACAATAGGGCAGTATGTTGCCCCTGACTGTTGTCTATTTCTTACCAGCTCCTGCTGGTTGTGTTTTATGCAGATGTGTGTCAGTCTATATACATTATCCTGTATATTTCTGCTCTGTATGCAATTGCACTTAATCTATCCTTTGTTGGATAACTGGATACAGTTGAACAGAAAATGGATGAAGCACCCGTTAGAGCAGGGGTGGGCAATTAATTTTCCTATGGGGCCACATGAGAAACTTTGACAGTTGTTAAGGGCCAGACCAATACACTTACAGCTCTGCTCAATATATATCTCTATAAAAACAGTAAATGAAACATTACAATGATACAATGAAAATGTGGAGCACAGAACAACACTATTTAAAGAATATTCACAAAAACATTAACATTACAGGAAAAGCAATAAATTCAGTTCAATTTTACTTATATAGCGCAAATTTACAACATATGTAATCTCCCAGCGCTTTTCTCATGATGTGCTCTGTATATAAGTTAAATAGGCAGGGTGACAGTATACAGCCTTGCCGAACTTCTTTCTCAGTTTTGAACCAATCAGTGGTTCCGTGACCAGTTCTCACTGTTGCTTCTTGATCCTCATATAGGTTTCTCAAGAGACAAATAAGATGGTCTCTTTAAGAACTTGCCACAATTTGTTGTGATCCACACAATCAAAGGCTTTAGCATAGTCAATGAAGCAGAAGTAGATGTTTTTCTGGAACTCCCTAGCTTTCTCCATGATCCAGCGTATGTTGGCAATTTGATCTCTAGTTCCTCTCCCTCTTCGAAATCCTGCCTGTACTTCTGCTAGTTCTTGGTCCACATACTGCTGGAGCCTAGCTTGTAGGTTATGGAAATAAATATAGTTAAAATATGGTTCAGTTTTCTGACTTCAGATACATTTAACTTTTTACTTTTCAAATAAGATTTTTTTCTGAACCATATCATATTTACTGTCATATTTACTTGTGGCTTATTTTTGGTACTCTATATTTTCACCCAGGCCTTACAGGTCTAGCTAGGAAAAAGAACAGAAACATATCCACCAACTATTTCAACAGGAAGAAGTCTATAAGCAAAAGAGAAAGTGAAACCTCCTTCCTTTTCTTGCTATAGTGACACTTCCCTCTAGAGGTGGAAATGTATCTTGTTCTTGCATTTGAGAATTGTTCAGCTTTCAATCTCAGACTTGCTTGTCCTCAGTGGACAAGAATTGTAATGACCTGATACATAGTCTTGCATAAAAATCTTACTTGCTTTGTAGAAAACATTTTGTTAGAGTAAAGATACAAACACCTTGTCTAAAATATTTTATTCATTGTTCTGAAAGAAAATATTCTATAAACCTGGTGGTGGTATTTTTGTGGGAGAGAAGAGTCAGGGGGAAAGTTGCCTTTTCTGATTATTTTCTGGACCTTATTTATTTGAGGTATATCCTGCTTTTATCTTATGAACTCAAAGTGACTTACATCATTCTCCTCCTGCTGCTCTCAGTTTCTCCCCACAACCTTGTGAGGTAGGTTGGGCTGAGAGTCTGTGACTGGCCCTCCAAATCACCCAGTTGGCTTCATGGCCAAGCAGGGACTAGAACCCAGGTCACCTGAGTCCCAGTCCTGTGCTCTTAACTGCTACACCACATTGGCTGTCATATTTACTTGTGGCTGCTTTTTTCTAAAGAAAGAAGATGCCAGGACCTAGGGGTAATATCTGGTCTGAAACTAAGGGAAATTCTGCATTCTTTAACAGAGTTACAGGAATGAGTAATTTGAAAGCTCTCTATTCTGTTCTACTCCCAATCATAAGTAATAATTTTAGATGAATTAATTATTGATTCATTGTTGATTCAATACTGTAAGCTTCAAACACCTTCTCTTAATTGTCTTAATTTTCTCTTAATCTTGATAATCTTTGATATACAGAGGTAGGAAGAATACTTTTTGACTAATATGTCTTACAACAATCTGAGGTCCTTGAGCATATTGACAATAGCAGTATGTATCAGGGTAGTATATGTTTAAGTAGAAGTAGCTGACTGTTTTCTTCTTCCAGGAATAAAATTTTGTTGCTTGTGTTTGCCAGATAATAGGCAACACTTAAGTTGTTTCCATAAAGTATGATGTTAACCCCAAAGACATCCTTGCTTGTTTTGAAGTCTCCTGTTAGGGTTCTGTGAATCTTAGCTTTTTCTGGTCATGACTGTTAGAATTTAAAGATTTTTTTTCTATTTAAACTTGCATAGGATTATACTCTTAAAGAATTTTCACTTGTTCAAAATATGTTTGAATGTTTAGTAGCTGGTCCAGAACCAAATAATACTACAGATTATGTGCTTTAAAATAGGTTAAATGAATAAAAGATGGGACTTGCATGTCGTTATCATTGAAGAGAATGGAAACATGTGGTCCTTGCTATGTTGTAGAAGACCAGCCTGCATCATTCTTGACCAGTTGCCATGGTGGCTAGGGAGTAGGTGATAGGAGTTGGAGTCCAACAGCATCTGGTTTAGATCAAGGCAATTTTAATGAGCAGGAAAAAGTCCCATTTAACTCATTTTTAACTGATATCACTTCATATGTTGCATAAACAATGATGCAAATCTGACCATTAGACATGCTTCTTTGCAACTAGAGCATTACATTGCATCAGTCATACAGTCAGTCCTTCAGTCTTTGTATTCACTTCATACACTTTCCAACCTCACATATAGGAATACTGCAAAAATATTTCTGCCTAGGTTCTGTTACAATGAGCATCCTGGATAGTTTGTGAGACTAGGTATGAAAATACAGGAAACTGTACACTAGATAATTTTATATCTTCTTTACACTGTTGCACCTTTCTGTTTCAGTATTCCTTGTCCCAGTTTTACCAGGACAAACAAAGTGGCTTACAAAAATGCCTTTGACTGATTGACTGAAGAATGATCTAATAGCTTCTGAGCAAGATAGAGAAGTTTATTTTTGGGGGGAGAAATTGAAACACTCATGCTTTGTAGGTAGAGTGTACCTATCCACATTTGAGAGATGATCAATTCTGCTCTTCATCTGCATAAAAAATTCTTCTTTGTGTCTGCTAGGAGAGAGAATTCAGTTTGGAGATTATGTAGACTATTTAATGTTAACAAAGTTGTTATTTGAGAGAAAATTAGGAGAACTGATATCAACTTTACCTTTTGCAAACAGTTGAAATTCATTTTTGTAAATTACTATAGGGATCTTGTTAGTGGAACAGGTTTGCTTTTTCTGTCCCCACCCTACCCCTTGTAGTCCTCAGCAAACCAGTGAAGGTGGAGCAAGCCCTTTGGCTACTACAGTGAGAATTCATCCATCTTTGTGTGAAAATTATAAATTCCCTAAATAGCTGTAGTATGTCAAATGTATATTTCTTGCCTAATAGACATTCATTGCAACTTTAGGTTAAAAACTGAAGGACCAATTTATTTCCCATATTCAGTAGAGTTGTGAACATACATAGTCCAATAGAATGATCAACTTTAATAATCAGGAAGCATAATGGTGCATAATTTAGGTATAACACATTTTAAACCTGAAAATATACCTCTCGCATCTTGTAGATCACAGAAGCTTTGTTAAAAGAAAGAGATAAACAAGCAAAGTGGAATGGAATTCCTCTGCTGTTACAGAAGCTGTATGAAAATAGTCATCCCAACAGTGATTTTTCCCAGTGCCAAAGCATCTTGAAGGTAAAGATTTTGATTGACAAGCAACGTGTTGTATGAGACAGATTTATAATGTTTAATCAATTCTTAGTTGTCTCAGATACTTTATGCCATTTCACAAGTTGTACACAATCCTGTTTTTCCTAACTGTGTTCCAGTGAGATATCCAGATTATACCACTCTCCCCATACTGTGTCTTGATTTTACAAACCTGTATTCACTTCTGCAGTGATTGTCTTTTTTAGTATGCTAAAAAGGTCCAAAACTTTATCCTTTTGGGTGGGGGAGAGGTGAGATGGGGTAGATGCCTCAACCTCTTGATCATTTTGATTGCCTTTTTTTGCAATAGGGACAGAATTAAATATTGAATATTAAATATCCCACTCAAAATTTGAGATTTAATAAAGGTTTCGCACCTTTGCTTGGAAATGTTTTTGTCCTAATCTTCCATATTTAGAAGTTTGATAAATCTGACAACATAATTGGGTTATCTTAGAGTGTGCAGATTAAAATAATTGCAACTTGTCTAACTTGTCCCATTGATTACAGTGACTACTCTGACTATAGAGCACTTTTTTGTATTTCTGTTACCTTTACCTGGTGCACTACTTTTATCTATGTCAGTGTTTTTATGATGAAATCAGTTATTTGATTATATAAATGGATGTTTTGGAAATATGTTCTATGAAGAATAGCTTCTGCAACTGGTTTAAATAAAGCATTATGATGTGAAGTGTATTTGAATATGTGCACCTTTGATTTTGTTGCTTGCCAGGAAATTTCTCCCCTCCTTTCAATGGAAGCCATGGCATTTGTCACAGAAGAGAGAAAGAATGCTCAAGAATCCACTTTTCCAAATACATATACTTTTGACCTTTTTGGAGGAGTTGATGTAAGTGATGTATGGTTTCTGTTTGCTTTTGATGTATTCACTTGAATTGGGTTGGGCCAGCTACAGATTTTTAATGCACCTGAAAAGTTCCTCTCATGCATTATACATGCAGCCAACCCATTTGGTTCTATCTAACCTCCTGCTACGTAAGAGCTATGCCCTTCTGCTTTGGGTAATGTCAAATGCTGTGGGCGAGAAGAGCAATACATAGTTCATTGCCTCTGACTAGTCATCCAACAGGCCTTCAACCTTCCAGAAGTCTTCTAGGACATCCCTTTTGTGCTTGGAAGGCTTTAGAGCAGCCTGTGTCAAAAGTGACGTATAATTCTCAGTAAGTCATTTTGAAAGAATACAGAAGCATATATAATAGTTTCTGAACTGAAAATAACTAGGTACAAGATGCATAGTTTCTCCATGCATCTTCGATTACAAATTGTTAATATCACTTCAGCTTTAGTGGAAGATGATGAATCTGGTAACTGGATCCTTCTGTAAGGGATGGGGGTGGGGTGGAGTGTTGAATAAAGATGTGATCAGGCCAGAATCTGGCTTTTTTGCACTTGCTGGACTTTTCCCCCTGCGCAGTCCTGGCCGGGAAACGAGATGAAGTCTGAAAATTAAACAGAATGCCTGAGTTCATGACTTGCAAAATAACATGCATGTGTCTTTAAATATAAATGTAGAGTATCTTGTATTAACAAGAAATCTTCATAACTCTGGCTTCAACTGAAGTGCAAAAACTATTTAAGATATTCCACACTAAAACATTGAGTTTCCTGTTATCTCAAAATGTCCCTTGGGGTTATGAAAAGCTTTTTTTGTGAATATCATTTAAAAACTATGTAGTTTATACAAAGAATATATAGCAGCGCTGGTTGAAATAGTTTCTTAATCATGGGTTCACAACATAAACTTTGCTCTAAATAACATACTGCATTTAAAATTTCTGCTCAGATTTTATCAGAAATTGGTTTTCATTCTAATAAAAAATGTAGTGTTCAGATTCTTGGTCCAGTTCTGCACCTTGAAGTAAAGCATAAGATTTTATGTTTACCCACTGCTGAAGACTACAATGGGAGCCAGCCTGCCTCTTGTTCTAGAAAACATCACCTACTAGTGGTAGTGTGTGAATCGATACCAAAGGGGAGGATAAGGTAACTCCTACAAGATGCAGGAACATCTAAGGGCCTTCTTTCAATGTTGCTACAACTTTCTGCAATGCTTTCTGGGTAACAGTTTCCTCTACGAACAATGTACTTCTCTTTGTCCAATCTCTTATTAATCTAGTCTTGAAGATTGCCTTTGAAATTTAAAGCAAAGGTAGCTATTGAATGAAAGTCTTGTGTCCTTATCCATTGTCTAGTGTTTGCTTAATATTTATAACCAATATGATGTATATTAGAATGTTTTTGATTATATAAGGCAATGTTTTAAGCTTGTGTGTTGAGTAAGTACTTGTAGTTTAAAAAAAACCTTAATGTGCTTAGGTGGGGAAGTTTTGACTGCAACTATGAGGGCCATTAGGTTATTCAGGGTCTGCTGGTCCAGTGCTCTGGAGGTGGCATGTTCTTACTGAAATGTGTATGTCTAGATGACCTGTTCACAGAACTTTCATTTTGCAGATGAAATATTCAGAATATTTCTGGATAGGTTTCTGTGCAATGCTAAGATGGATTGTAACAGTAGGTGCACAGACCTGGGCTATGTGCTTCCCATTCCTTTTTCCTGCAGTGTGGCTACAAGGAGGGGATCAGAAGGTTTGGCTTCTGTTTACCAACATCTTCATAAACCCCACTTAAATAATCAGATCTTCATTTAGTAAGCCAGTATATTTACACACAGCTGCATGACTTTTAGGCCTTGTGTGTGGTGAAACAAGCCTGAAAATCTAATTATCCACTGTTTCCTGTTATGGTTGAACTAGGAAACTATGGTTATGGCTTCCAAAAAAGATGTGAAACTATGATTTAAAACATAAGATCTGTAAGAACAATCCCCTAAGCATGCATGAATGTATCAGCATTGTCCTGCCCATATTCTTCAGCAACTGGTGTACATGATTCTAGAGGTAATCAAGTTGACTAAAACTTGGACTCATGCCACTAAGCAGTGACTTAGAATTATGTGTGAACACAACCATTACTCATGGACTGAACTTGTGAAGAAAAGTTTACTAAAGTCAAAATACAAATAGCAGTTTTCATAGTTTACTTAGAAGTACAACCAATCAGTTGATGTTACTATTAAAATAATGCCTACATTATTTTTACTATTGCAATCTTGTTTCAATTCACAGCTTCTAGTAGAAATACTTATGAGACCAACTCTTATCACACAGAAGAAGAAACAGAAGAGTAAGTAAATAACATAATTCTATCACTAAACCATATTTTGATTCTGCCTTAATGCATGCATGGTCAAGAATATAATTTGCTTATATTGTACATATAGTTGGCTATATAAGAAAATTTCAGGCTTATTCCAGGATTATTTAAATTCTCCTAATTTCTGAGCCAGAAATTTTTAAATTAAAGACAATGCTTTTCTAAAGGTAAGGTAAATAAAAATAACTAAGGTATCTTAGTTTCACAATTTCTTATTTGATTGATTATCTACAGTTGCCATTATTTTCAGGGTAGCAATATTGCAATAACTGTAGTTTTTCTCTCAGCTGTATACATATTTGTATAAACAATGAAAAATACAGAAACATTGATTTACCTCATATTTACTATATGATATTAATCTGAACAAATTGCCAACTGGCTCTAATTTTGTCTGTATATTTTAAGGTTTCTACCACATTTCTACCACACCTTTTAGTTAGACATTAATTAGACATAAAATAGTAAAATGAAGCCTAGTTACAGAGACTTTAGAAATCAATAAAAAAGCACAATACAGATTCATAAGTGAAAATAAACCAGCACAAGAAAAGTGGAGGTAAACCACCATGCTTTCATCTGGTACCTAAAACTCATGTGTAGGACAAATAGCCCTGGGTGGTAGGTATGCAGACAGTCCCAAGTTACAAATCACTTAGATGCAAACAACCCTTACAAACAAACTGCCATCAAGTCTATTAATTTAAAAATATTATTATGGAAAATTGTAATCACCAAAGAAAGAGAAGAAGTGAAAGGGGAAAAGGGGAGGGTCTCCAAAGCATGCCTTCCTGTCCTGCCCATTTGTAGAGGGAAGTCTCTGGCATTTTCTTGCAGCAAGAGGAGGCACTGGTGAATTTGGGTGGGGAGGTAGGGTTAGGGTTAGTCCTATACCCCAACCCCCATGAATGCAGAGGACCTACTATATGTGATCAGACTTACATAAAAAATTGACTTAAAAACAAATTTCTGTTTTTGCAAAAACAGAACTCATTTGTAACCAAGGGACTGGTTGTATTCCAAAGTTAGGGAGTCAACATTGAAATGGGGTAGGTGGGTTACCACCTACACTAGTATCCAATACTGCTACTACCCCTCCACTCATTCTATTACACTCATGGAACTGATCACTGGTGTGACAGAAAGATATTATTTCCCAAAGCAGTCTCTTTGGTGAGCTCTGCTGACCTGCCCTTGCTCCAGAAACTAGCATTTCATTTGATTTCTAGTTGGTTTATGAACTACTAGCTTTCCATTGCATTAACAGTATGTCTATCAGTGCACAGGCAGCATTGGATAGCTCCCTGCATCACTAAATCTAAACATGTTGGATTTTACTGAGTTGCCTGCTGTTTTTATAATTTTTGGGTTTATTTGTATAAAGCAGTATGTTGTGAAATTATACATAAAGGTATGAGTGTGAGACTAACTAACATTTTATCTCCTACAGTAAGCGATGACCTTATCAAAGATTGCCTGAGCATACTGTACAACACTTGCATATGTGTAAGTTTTGTTCTGTGTATTGACAGAAATTTTTGCTTTATAATGCAACTAGGCGTAATGTATTCTTGATGTGCTAAAAAAAAAAATCTAAAGTGGTATATTAATCTGGTAAATTTCAACAGATTTTAAAATAATTCTATGACATTTCACATATTACAATATATCAAGAAACTTGTTCTTACTTGCATATTGTCTAAATATCCTTTTTATATGGATACCATTACCAGTGGAAGTAAGTCAGTGCTTAGTAACACACTATTTTACCCAGGAATGTGATTTGTTTCCCTTGACAAAGTATTTTCAACTACTTTTAAAATGCATTGGGAGGTTCTCTGATATGTGTGATTTGTTTATTCATTTTTTGCTAATTAAATTCATAGTATTTAGAAATACTCTATGTCTTGGCTTTATAAAGTTTACTCTTCAAACAATTATCAATTTATATTTAGTGCTGAGCATATATAGTAATATTGATTTCATATTAATAAACTGCAAGAAAGCAAAAGTTGATACTTCTTGAAGTTTTTACAGGCACTGGCAAGACTATTAGATGCTTTTCTCAGATAGTTCTACAAGTCATATTCACTAGATTACAGCAGCCTAGCTTTCCTTGTTGAGGGTTTCTGGCTCCACCACCCACAGAGAAAGCTGCAGTGAGTTTATCTGGACATAGACCTGGGTTACACATCTCAGCCATCAATTCCAGGGTTGTTAATTCCCAGAATTGTGGAAGGAATGGTGTTCGCATGTCATTTTCTATTTCAATTAACAGGAAGGCAATTGGAAACTTCAGAACTAAATGAATTCATTAGATATAGGTATATTTGGAAGGAAGTGGACTCTATATATTTATTTATACTCCATGTTATTGAGGCACAATTCAAGAATTGTTATTTTTAATAGTGTCCTGTCTTAGTGATACAGACAAGCACAACCCTGATATGACTTTCTCTTTTCTTTTCATCCACACATCAGGACAACTGCATTGGAGTGCACAGATGAGCATTAATTCAGCATTAGTTATACTTTGCTAAAAGTTTTGAGTTTCTTCTTTTCATGGTATGCTTGGGAACTACTAGAAAGCATACCACATATCACAATTCAAGGGCTATGGATATCTCGTGATAGCTGTTTGCCAACAGATGATTAAGTTAGGGTGTTTCTCATGGCAACAATGGCTTTTACTAATGTGTATGTTGACTTTCTTTTTCTTGTAGACTGAAGGGGTTACTAAACGATTGGCAGAAAGAAATGATTTTGTTTTGTTTTTGTTTACATTGATGACAAACAAAAAGACATTCCTACAAACAGCCACACTTATTGAAGACATTTTAGGAGTGAAAAAGGTTTGTCATTAATTCTTTAAAATTTATCAGTAGGCATGTTATCATTAATCTTGAGGCTTGAAAGTAGAAATGTATGTGTTAAATAACAGAAGATTATCCTACATCATGAATGGCAATCCATATTTCTTAATTCCTATTAAGCACCACATTGAAACTTTGATGTGGGGGTAGCCTCTCACAAAATATAAAAAAGATGTCAGCTGAACACCAAAGTCAATTAAATCAGGATTCTTTAGATTTACAAGGTTATTTTAAGCATTTATATTTAATTCACATGGGACTGATGGCTTTATGGGAGCCTTCTAAAAAACTTACCCTAACCGAGTAACACCATAAGGGATAAAGCTTTTCAATAAAATTATGCATAATAATTCAGTGCCATAGACTTGGCAAGTTGTCTGGATTGCATTCTTATATAAACTGGGGAAGACCCTCCCCCCCCTCCCCCCAAAAAAAGAGACTGATGGATTTTGTCCTATGGAGATTCTGGCTGAGGGGTTAGTCTCTGTAGAATTGTTGTATTAGAAAGCCTACTATAATTGATACAGGAAGATGGATACTTAATATGGTTTTTCGTTGCACAAAAAAGAGCAGAAATTTGCATAACATCATTGGATACAGCTACAGCTTTTAATAAGCTAAAATGGCTTACTTACTAGCCTTGAGCTAGCAAAAAGCCTTTCTTAATTTTACTTTCAAAAATAAGCAGTCATCAGAACAAACAGAATAGACTCTTGTCCAATTAAGATTAATTGGCTAATTAAACAAGATGATCCTCTGTCCCAACTATTTTTGGCCTCTGTTGAATGTTGAACTCTTAGCAAACCTAATTTGCTACTCTCACTTGATAGAAGAGGTTCATGTTAATTCACAAAAAAAATTGATTATTTTCAAATGATATTATTGTAACACTCAATATATCACTTGTCTCCTTTCAGGAAATGATTCAGTTAGAGGATATTCCAAATCTCTCCAATCTAGTTTCTAGCTTTGACCAACAGCAGCTTGCAAACTTTTGCAGGATCCTTGCAGTTACAATTTCAGAACTTGACACAGGCAGTGATGATAAACATACACTACTTGCAAAAAATGCTCAACAAAAGAAGAACTTGGGTCCTTCTCGGGCAGAAATTAATCAAGGTAAAAACTTCAAACAAGGATAGTCATAAAATGGGAAGTCTAGGAAGTGACTGTGTGCATTTTCAAGTTTGAAGCCTGGGTGTATCAAGAGACAGAGAATATTGGCTGGGGGAGAGGGAGAAAAAGGTCATCTCTCTTCTGAAAACTAGAGCAAAATTTGCAGCAGAAATTCATTTTGTTTTGCACTGAAAAAGAAATCCTAGCTATTCAATCTAAAATTAATGTGTGTACTTGCATTTAAGATGGAAGCACCTGATTTAAGTTTTTATTTCTAAACAAACTTAAATCAACAGTTTAGTATTTTTTCAACAGTTTAGTATTTTAAACCAGTTCTGTTTTCTTCCTATCATAGCTACACTTCTCAATATACCAGGCTTCATTGAACGACTGTGCAAACTAGCAACCAGAAAAGTATCAGAGACAACAGGGAATCCTAGTTTTCTTCAGGAGTTGGAGGAGTGGTACACCTGGCTAGATAATGCACTTGTCCTTGATGCACTAATGCGTGTGGCAGATGAAGAGACAGAGCAAAGCAGCACAGGTACCTGCTTGAAGAGAAATGGGTTCAGTAGCCATTAAGTAGCTATGCTTCAGAATAATGCATGTTTGAAAGTTTACTATTGTGTTAATTATGGATTTACTTACTTCATTTCTGCATAAATAGACAGATTCCTGTATATTTTGTATATCCATGCTGTTATCACCAGCTTCCCTGTATTGAGAGCCATGTCTGTCTCTTACTGGCATTGTGGTGAGCTCTCACTATGTTTGCAGTCACATGTATGATTCAAAGAGAATTAATATGGCTCTTGCTAATTAGAGAGATAACTTAAATATGTATGTTTGACCTACAGACCCTGTTCTCATACAGCAAACAGCCCTACCATTTGTTAACCATAGGTGATTTGGCAGCAAGCAGTGTGAGCAAGCATTCTGTTCCCTGCCCATTTCCCCATTGCTGAACAGCTTAGGGACACCCTGTCTTCAGGTTGCTGTCCTTAATGTCTGAATCTGGAACTTTGGTTTGTTGAGGTAGAAGCAGCCCACAATTTTAACCCACAGTTTATTCCCAGCAACTCATCTCTATGATATTATCTACTTCTGTTGCAAAGAACAAACCAACCTTTTCCCTTCTACATTTTTGTGCATTAATAGCTGTTATTTAACTTCTTGTGAAGGCTTCCAAGTTGAAAAAAAGTTTCTCTCTTAGAATCATCAGATGAGAGTGGATTTGCCAACACTTCAACAAGGAATCAGCTTCCACAGTCCATGAAGATTATGCATGAGATCATGTATAAGCTGGAAGTTTTGTATGTTCTTTGTGTTCTTTTAATGGGCAGACAAAGGAATCAGGTGAGACTCTATGTTTAAATGCTCAGACATATGCAGTGTTCTGAATGAGCAATAGCTTTCCAAATTCAAATGCATGTCTTACTTTGTAAATTTATATACATATTCAAATACAAACTTTGGAATTATTATAAATCAATGCGTTTTGAGCTAGTAACATTAAAATGTATATATAGTATATTTTCCTTTTGTAAGATAAAGCAGTAGTGAACTGTGTTGATTCACATACCTTGCATATTGGGAAGTTGGTATAATAGCTAAGGGGCATGGTGGCTTAGCGGGTAGGATGCTGAGCTTGTCAGTCAGAAGGTTGGCGGCTTGGCAGATCAAATCCCCAGTGCCATGTAACAGAATAAGCTCCCCTTAGATGCCCCAGTCCCTGCCAGCCTCGCAGTTCGAAAGCATGCAAATGCAAGTAGATAAATAGGTATCATTTCGGTGGGAAGGTAACAGTCTAAGTATACTCAGATTTTACTTGTGGGTGGGTCTTGATAGCTCTCTTATAAATGAAGCAATGCCAAAATATTATTATTATATAATATGTCTAAGGGACAATCCTATGCAGATTTAAACAGGAAACAAGTCCTAAAGCCCAAGAAACAAATCTGAGTATACTTAGGATGGCACCCTAACTGTTTGCTGCTGCTACTGCAACTTTATTTGTACAAAACTATTATCTATACATGAATGGGACCACTTACTACAGTGACTGGAAGCATAAACGTAATGCATTGACTAGATATATTCTTGCCTAGGTTCACAAGATGATTGCAGAATTCAGATTGATCCCTGGCCTTAATAATTTGTTTGATAAATTGATCTGGCGGAAGCATTCAGCATCAGCCCTTGTTTTGCATGGACATAATCAAAACTGTGACTGTAGCCCAGTGAGTATTAGATTTATCATTGATATAAAGTGGGGATCCCCACCCTTTTTGGGCCTGTGGGTAGACTGGAGTTTTTAAGAAATGTCATGGGTGCTACCACAACATGGCTTCTGTGGTAGGCCATGACTGCCTTGGTCGCCCTGTACGATGACTTGTGCAGGGAGAAGGACAGGGGGAGTGTGTCCCTGTTGGTTCTTCTGGACCTCTCAGCGGCTTTCGATACCATTGACCATGGTATCCTTCTGGATAGGGGGTCAGAGGCACTGCTTTGCAGTGGTTCTGCTCCTATCTCAATGACCGATTCCAGAAAGTGGTGCTGGGGGACTATGACTCTGCACCATGGCAGCTATGCCATGGAGTACCGCAGGGATCCATTTTGTCCCCTTTGCTGTTTAACGTCTACATGAAACCGCTGGGAGAGGTCATCAGGAGGTGTTGGCTGTGGAATCATCAGTACGCTGATGATACCCAGCTCTACCTCTCGTTTTCCACCAATCCAGGTGAGGCAGTGGCTGTGCTGAACCGGTGCCTGGCCGAGGTAATGGGCTGGATGAGGGCCAATAAACTGAAGCTCAATCCAGACAAGACGGAGGTCCTGTTGGTTGGCGGATCGGGCTTCGGTGAGGGTGGATTTGACCTGGTCCTGAATGGGGTTGCACTCCCTCTTAGCAACAAGGTTCGCAGCTTGGGAGTGCTCCTTGACCCAGAGCTTTCATTGGAAGCTCAGGTGACAGCGGTGGTGAGGACCGCTTTCCTTCAGCTTCGGCTGATCCATCAGCTGCGCCCCTACCTGGAGTACGACTGCCTGGCGACAGTGACACATATGTTGGTGACTTCCCAACTTGACTTCTGTAACGTGCTCTACGTGGGGCTACCCTTGAAGACGGTCTGGATACTTCAATTGGTTCAAAATAGAGCTGCCAGGCTGCTGACGGGGACTGGGCGTTATGTTCACATGACTCCATTCCTCCGTCAGCTTCACTGGCTTCCCATTGAAGTCCGGGCCTAATTCAAGGTGTTGGTGATGACCTATAAAGCCCTAAACGGCTTGGGTCCTGGTTACCTGAAGGAGCGCTTACGTTCATATATGCCCGCCCGCCCCTTGAGATATGCAGGAGAGGCCCTTCTCCGGGAACCCTCCGTGAAGGAAATTAGGAGGGTGAGTACTCGGAGGAGGGCTTTCTCTGCAGTGGCGCCCAATCTATGGAATGTGCTCCCCAAGAGGTCCACCTGGCGCCGTCGTTACTTGTTTTTCAGCGCCAGGCAAAGACCTTTTTATTCAAATGTCATTTTAACTGTTAATAGTATTTATTTATTTTATTCTTTGGCCAGGGCAACTTAATTTATACTGTTAATTTATATTATTTTAACGAAGTTTATTTATGTTTTTGAGCCGCCCCAAGGCTTCGGCAAATGGGGCGGCATAGAAATTTTCTAAATAAATAAAATAAATAAATAAAAATGACCATTCATGAAATGGGAAGATAATTTGAATCTAGTAAATAAAAATGGAACATTGTGAATTTGCCTGGATTTTACCCAGCCCTGCAGCCTCCATCAAATTAAACTTCGACTGAACAGTAACCCCTCCTCCCCATACACACACAGTGAAACATAAACAAAGATCTGAAATCCTCCTGGATCTGATTTTTAAATAGGATTCTGCAATATATGCCACTTCCTTATGACATCAGTGGCTCTCCAGTATTAATCATTATGCACATGCTCTGCTCTGCTCTCATAGTATGATTGTTACCAGTTATTGTTTGTTGTGTTTTCCTGAATGAATTAGGCACAATCTTAATCTTTATCAATCTGGACATGGTTGAAATTAGCCATTAAGAGTTCAGGTATGCAACAATAACAACTGGCCCTTTTAGCAGAGAACAAGAAAATATCATTCTTTTTTCTGATGAATAATAGCAGCCTCCTCTCTCTCTCTTTCTCGCTCTCTCTCTCTCTAAATGCCATAAATATTTTTAAAAGACTGCCTGTAAGAACTTGACTTTTCCAACAGTCACATAGTAATGATATTTTGTGAAAGAAATTGTCATCCTGTTTATTCTGCAGGATATTACCTTGAAGATACAGTTTTTGAGACTACTTCAGAGTTTTAGTGATCATCATGAGTGAGTATCGAAGATGTTTGCCATAAACATTGTGTGTTCGTGTATCTAACTTGGACTCACATGTTCAGAACCAAGGTGCCATGCAGACAAGAGTTTAGGCAATAGCTGCCTTTGATTACATTCCAAAGGAGTGAGTGCAAAGAATGTCTTGAAATAAAGGGGCAGGGAGAACTGCTTATGTTGCCTTAATCTATTTGCAGGAAAGGCAAACTAATCCTAAGAAGTAGGTACTTTTGTGTTCTTCAGGGTTTTGCAACCTTATTTTCCATTTTTCTCACTGGTAGCTTGGACTATTTGGCTAATAAATATTGCTAATAAAATGAATATGGTTATTATAGCAAAACAGTAGAGATGTGAGAAATTCATAAAAAGCAGGGGATCTTTCTTAAAGCACAGGGTAACCATCTTGACCCAGTGAATGTTTCACTCTCACCTATTACTGTTTATTCTGCTGTCTCTCCTATCACTCCTGTCCCTTGCAGAATGAACCAGTGTTGTTTCAGACGTATCTGTGCCCTTCAGTGGTGGATTCCAACCAGTGCACTAAGCCTACCATGCCCTCTATGTGCTGTTGTAAGGATGATGCAAGGGTGAAGCTCTGAATTGCTTCTCCCTAGGCCTAGGGTATATCATATCACTAGAATACAAAAAGCATGCCTAAAATGGATTTGCATTTTTTCAGTTAATTGAAATTGGCTACAGTTGCTGGGGATGAGCATGCTGTGCAGCTGATAATGGCATGGGTGAAGTCAAAGAATATGGTAGTTATTCTTACCCTTCACAAAAAAGAACTGTCAGTAATTTCTAACTGGCTTTGCATGGCATGACAGCCCCTCATGGGTGCCAAAGCATGGTAGGTTGTTGTGAATCCAGACTGTTTCCCCACAGGATGGCATGTTGACAGGCAACCAGTCTCTATGGCAACACATGGCATGATCTAGGGTTTGTTATACCTGTGATGCGTTGTCATGTCATCCAAATCCCAGTGATCAATCTCATTGTGGGAACTGGGAAACAACTAGCAAGTCACTTGGCTTGTTCTTGCTGCGCTCAGCCAGGCCAATGCCAGTTGACCCACAATGGGGTGGAGTAGTGGAGAAACCTGCACTGGTTCCATGCAATCATTTGCCCTTCTCACATGCCACAACATCCTTGACCCTTTTCCAATGCTTTTTTCTTTTTTCAGAGATTGAGAAAAGCAGTCTCCAACTTGAGAGCTAGTGACAGTTCCTTTAAAGTGCCCAAGCTGTGTGTTGAAGGAGCTGTCACTAGTTTGTCAGTCTTTCTTTTAAAAAAATAACCCAAGCATGCATTTTTAAATTTCTTGCCTTTTTTTTTGTTAAACTTGGTCAAAAATGGCATGCTTTGCTTGGGGAATGTCTGCTGTTAAAGTGCATCAGGCATCCCTTGTGGCTTCAACCCAAAGAAGCTGTCAAGAGCTTTATTTTTCACTTTGGGTTGTCTTGACAGCTGTGAGGGTTGTGCTATTTTTCCACCTTTCCTGAAATTCTTGGTGCTTGGGAAGGTGGAAAAATGGAACCCAGCACTTTTTCTGAGAGCTGTCGGTTGAGACCACTAGCAATCTGATTTTTTAAAAAAGTTGGAGAGGCAGGGCTTCTCCCCCACCCTGGGACATATGCACTCATGTCCACATAAACCTAAAACTCCAACTGATTGCCCCAAATCCAAAGTTATCTGTAAGATATTCTTCCTCAAAAGGTTCTGGGGAAAAGGAGGTTCAGTCTTGAAATTCAATCCTGTGCCTTCTAGGAGCTCTTGTCATATATTCTGCTATATGATTTATGCTGTGGATTCCATATTCTGGCTTTTTAAGCTTTTAAGTAGTACAAAACAAAGATATATTGTGGGGTTGTTTGTCCAAGATAGTACTAATGCTGCCTCCACTGCATTCTTTCTCTACAATTCAGCAGAACCTTCAAACCACGAAGGAGCAGGCAGTTATAAATTGTATGTATTTTTGGAAATGCAGTGTGAATAATGAGTTTAAAAAGCAAATAGATGAGCTCACTCTGACCCAATCTTTATATTAGGAACAAGTATCTGCTTTTAAACAGCCAAGAACTTAATGAACTGAGCGCTATCTCCCTCAAAGCCAACATCCCCGAGGTAGAAGCAGTTGTCAACACGGACAGGTAAAAAAGAAATTCATGTACATTTGTGTGTATAACTTGGTTTTGAAATTTCATGTGTTCCATTGTACCAGACCTGCCTATTGAAACTGTGATCACAAGCTAGTGAAGTTAATGTTTCTGTAGGTTCAGCATCAAAAGGATCCACATAAGCTATAAGCAGTAGCATGCTAGGGTTGTATTTCAAGCAGCCTGGGTCCCGTATCTGCCCTCTGGTGTTAACTTTAACTCCTTTTAACTTCCAAGGAGTTGCTGTCAGCTTGCCTGAACTATAGCCATAGGGCCAACACCAGTTCACATTTCTTTCTGTTTTTGCACTTCCTTCTGTGCCATGTGCTATTTGGTCAATAGCTTATATTTACTGTTCCCAATATTTACTGTTGTGAAGTCTTATGTTTATGGACCACCATCAAAAACAGAAGTGTATTCAGACAAGGTGTTCTTTTGATTTTTTCTTAAGGTACCTAAAATTGTGCACTGTTGAAAAGGTTTTTAGAGTTAAGTACAAAATCATTAATCAGCAGGGGGAGTTTGACTGCAATAGTACAGAAATTACAAAATACTCAAAATACAAGAGCATTTAGTTTTTGGCTGCCAGAGCTGACACATTGGGCTTGATTATTGCTGCATAGAACAGGGTGGTGTATTAGGATTGCAGAAAAAAGTGCTATACATTTTCTTTAGAGCTTCACACTGCAGCCAGTTGGTTTATTCACTGTAATTTCTCTTAATATTGTAGAAGTTTAGTCTGTGACGGGAAAAGAGGCTTACTAACTAGATTACTTCAGGTAATGAAGAAAGAGCCTGCAGAATCATCATTCAGGTGAGTTCTAATCTAGTGTTCTGTTGTAGGAGAACTTGAACTTCAGGGCCCATGCAGAACATTTCATTACTTCCTATTAGAAAACTATGGTTTCATTTGTCTTTGTCTCTGAAGTGGAGAGAATGAAGGTGAATGGTACTCAGAAGCAGCAGTCTTTTACTCAGTGTTGCTTCTGTCTTGCACATGACTTTAAGTTGCTTGGTCTACAAATGTGAAATTTAGAATAATTGTCTTGAATCCAAAACAGTGATAACACACTTGTGAGGAAGATCCAGCATTGCGTTTGTTCTTGTTTTCCCTTTCAACAGTTCCCACTTTCAAAAATACTTATCACTTAGCAAATTGTCTCTTAGGGAATGAAATGGCTTCAGCCAGTTGCATGTACAGTACTCCCCCACATGTCTGCATCACTTTTCTGGATACTGACCCGTGGTTGAAAAGAATACATTTTGATTAGGTTCTTTGTATAAAAAAAGACGTTCAAAGATAGTACATATTTTTTTTATCAGGCCTAACTGATACAAAGTTACTTTGTTTTCCTAATTCAAGGTTATCCTGATATTTCTTAACAAGAACTTCATTTTGCTTTGTTTCCTAGGTTTTGGCAAGCCAGAGCAGTTGAAAGTTTCTTACGAGGTGCTACTTCCTATGCAGACCAAATGTTCCTGCTAAAAAGAGGGCTCCTAGAGGTAATCTAAATGTTGAGCACTAATGTTTGTCAAACCCATATTAATACTTTATTTTTATAGCAGGGAAACTAGCAATATCTACTGTATATATATAATTTAGCGTTTAGCCTTTCTCTCTGAAGCTTTTCACCTTACTGTGTTTTCTCATCACTAAACCCACAGATATAAATGGTCATTTTAAATCTTCTATCAAGTAATAACACCTTTTTGTAAGAAAGTTAGGAAGACAAGGCCATTTTATTACTGGGCTGTAAAGCAACATACAATGGTTAGACCTCAAAACATGATATTGTCTTGGTTATAGTTTTTTATTATATAAAACTATTCTACAAAGATTATACAGACACACACACTACATATAAAATAATCAAGGATATGAGCATGCACAAAGACTGGAATTATTCTGCAGTAAAGAAAACTATATGACCACATACTGTCCTGATACAACATTCTGGAATATTAAGTAAATAAAGTTCATTTATCAATAAACATATTTGTCTGTTGTCGGTTAATTTTTATAAAATTGTAATATTCTGTTCTACCATGCTATCCAGATATTGGAGGCACAACAGCTTTTTTCTGGTTTGCCACCACATTTGAGCTGCTGTGAGCAGGTTTACCACTTGCAGGTCAATATTATTGCCCAAGTCTTGAAAGTAACACAGCAATGCTACTGTAAGACATTGTGATATGACCAAAAATGTTTGTATAACTGGACAGTTCCAAAATATAAGCAAAGCATTTACACAGACTTCACAGTTGAATTGCCAGCAATAATTATGAGCTATAGTATAAATTTGACTTAACCTTTCTTTCTTTATTTAGAACTTTAATATGCCATCCTCTATGTGTGGCATCTCAGGATGGCTTACAAACATTAAAATAAAAAACGAATAACAATTGATACAAATATACAGCAATATAGAACCAATAAAAATAAATTTTAAATCAAGAGTGAGTGATTAAAACTATTAAAAAACTAACTTTTAAAATAACTCTTAAATAAAAAGGTTTTGACCTGGCGCCAAAAAGAATATAGGCTCAGCACCAGGCAAACCTCTTTGGGGAAGTGAAATGTCAATAGCAGTGATTTTTAATAAGTTTTTTTTTTTTTTTTGCAAATCAGTAGATATTGCTCTATTCAATATATTCCTCTATCTCCATTCTCACTCTTTTATTGGGCTTTTTGTCCCAAATGTTTTATTCATTTTTAATAAAAGTACCAGATCAGTACTGTAATAAACAAAACATAGTATTGGCTTTTGGAATTAGCAGTGCAAATCAATATTTTAAAACAATTGTTCCCTGGCTATATTTTCTGCATGAACACATTGTGATAAGTATGCTCAAAAATACAAAAAGTTTGAAGGTCTTATACCATAAACCACCAGTTAAAATATCTTGACTATTTCACAAGTTTTCTGGTCAGCCTTCATAATTTTGCTTTCATAATAACACATTACCAGTCACAGTATAAATATATGTTAATCATTCATTATAAAACTATATGGTGATAACCTGGAACAAAATGTTTTAATCTAAAAGAATCAATTGGGAAATGATTGGGCTTTTCCTGATACTATACTAAACTTTAAAAATCTCTATGATGGTTTTCTTCTGCTTCCAACAATGTATCAGAAAGTTTCCAATAAATCTAATTTGACAGCTAGCTAAGATTAGGAACTACCATAGCCCCTTTTCCTGTTTTCTTATAACTTGCTTGTCACATGTTAAGTTTTTAGCTACCATTCTTGGTGACTTTCAAGTCCAGATAAATAGTATTAACATTTTTTTTTACTTTTGCTTTTCAAAATTGATGTTGAAACTTGGAGTAGAATATTACTACTTTGGGGATATCACTCATTTTAATTGAGATCCTTTCCACCAAATAAATTGATAAGAAAGACTAAAGGTTCAGATCTTTCCGCTCATTTTATTCTACAAGTTTCAGTGTCCAAGAAGAGCTGCCAGTTGCTCCTCTTTAGCTCTGTATAGAATGTTAAAAGCTATTCATCCTGGCTGCTCATGAGATCTCTGTGGTTATGATGAAGAAAGTATAGTGTGATCTGCGTATAAAGTTACTATTGACATAAAAGAACCTAAAGTTTTGAGATATTTCATAATTATGAACAGAACAAGCAGTAGTGGGATGGCGAGCAGCCCTACTTCCTCTCTTTAGAAAAAGTTATCCGAAACATATCCATTAACAATAATAACTTTAATAGTAGGTTTATCATATAATGACCAGTTTGCATGTTATGGCAGCAAATTGTGAATTATTTTGCCTGGTGTGTAAGCCAAGAAGCAGCTTCTGCTCAATGTGCATCCAAGCACAATTTGCAAACTGGCCCAATATTTGTACTCATTCTTCAAATATACCTCCTATGTCCTATTGTACTCATTCTTTCAATATACCTCCTATTAATATCAAGTAGCTTTATTCTATTCTGCCAAATACCTTTTCAATATCCAAGAAAAGTGAAGAACATTCCTGTTACAAAATATTTTTATTTATTTATGTCCATGAGACATTGTAATCTTGTAACCCACCCAAAGAGTCTTTTTGGCTAACAGGATGGGATATAAATGTAATAAATTATAAATTATTGTCTTGAATTCATGGTAATATTTTTCCCCTTGCCAGCATATTCTCTACTGCATTGTTGACAGTGAGTGCAAGTCACGAGATGTGCTTCAGAGTTATTTTGACCTTCTGGGAGAACTAATGAAATTCAATATAGACGCTTTCAAGAGGTTCAATAAATACATCAATACAGACGAAAAGGTAAAAACTAAAATCCCAGAATCCCAAATTGTAAACTCAGAGTTTTGCTGTGTTGCAACCTGGGCAGAGCCTAATGATTCTACTACTTTAGTTTCAGATATTTTTGAATCAGATCAACAGTTCACTGGTTGATTCCAACATGTTAGTTCGTTGCATCACCTTGTCTCTGGATCGATTTGAGAGCCAGTCAGATATTAAAGGTAATGTAGGCCAAGGAAGCATTTAAAAACCATGAGCTGGCTATTGCATATGGTGGATGCTGGAAATCTACCTAAAGTTACTGAACACATTAGTTCCTTGTCCAAAGCTAGCAGGTCTTTCTGCAGTGACATTGCATATGGGATTGGGCTTTCAAAAATGCATTGAAATCCTGGTTACCATTAAGATATTTGCCTCATATTGAAAGCCTACACATCTAGCAACTTCAAGAGGATGTTCAGCAGCCACCATGTGCTGAAGGGTTGTGTGCATTGATCATACCAAAGGAAAAAAATCTACCTGTTTACCCTGGATAAGTACCTGCTGATGTTATCACATCTCTTACTTTGGGAGATTTTCTTTGAAGCCCATAAAGTGGTAATTTTGAGAGATCCTTCATGTGATAGCTTTTCTCAGTTAACAACCTGTCCATTCTGTCTAATGATTGTATTGTGGATGGGATCAATATTGTAAATGCCTTTACACCTTTTAAACATGACATTCTGATTTACTTAACTCATAACAAATGCCTTGTTTCCTACAGTTGCAGAGGTCTTGTCTGAATGCCGCCTGCTATCATACATGTCACAGATGTCTATGAGGATGTCCTTCCTTTTCCGGCTAATTAATATTATTCATGTGCAGACACTTACACAGGTAAAATGCTGACACTAAGACAGAGGTCCTGTTGGTGGGTGGTTCGATTTCCTGTGTAGGTGGCCTGGACCTTGCCCTGGATGGGGTTGCACACCCTCTAAAGGACAGGGTCCGCAGCTTGGGAGTGCTCCTCGACCCGGAACTGTCCCTGGAAGCTCAGGTGACTGCGGTTGCAAGGAGCGCTTTCCTTCAGCTTCGGTTAATCCATCAGCTGCGTCCCTACCTGGAGGACGATTGCCTAGCGACAGTGACACATGCATTGGTTACTTTCTGGTTGGATTTCTGTAATGCGCTCTACGTGGGGCTGCCCTTGAAGACAGTCCGGATACTGCAGATGGTGCAAAATAGAGCAACCAGGTTGCTGACGGGGACTGGGCATTATTCTCATATAACTCCAGTCCTCTACCAGCTTCACTGACTTCCCATCGAAGTCCGGGCTCAATTCAAGCTGCTGGTTATTACCTATAAAGCCTTTAATGGCTTGATACCTGGATACCTAAAGGAACGCCTTCTTCCATATTTGCCCTCCCGCCCCCTCAGATTGGCAGCAGAGGCTCTCCTCCGGGAACCCTCCATGAAAGATATTAGGAGGCAAAGTACCCGGAGGAGGGCTTTCTCTGCGGTGGCGCCCCACCTAGGGAATGCGCTCCCCAGAGAGGTCCACCTGGCGCCATCGTTATTTGCCAGGTTAAGAACTTTTTATTCCAACAATATTTTAATAACTTTTAATATTGGTTTAATACATTTTTAATCTGCAGCCAGGGTGGATGTGAAATTCATTTGTATTATGTTTTTATATAATTTTTTAATTATTTATGTAAACCGTCCTGAGGCCTTCGTGACAGGGCGGCATATAAATATTCTAAATAAATAAATAAATCTTTGGATCATATATAAATAGATTTTGATGATATGATGTTTTCTTTTAAGTTCATATCCTTTGGACTTTTGAATTCCATTATCAGGTTTTCAGATTATTTAATCATAATGGTCCTTTATCTTGATCTACTAGAATAATCTCTTTTTTTAAACTTAGGAAAATGTAAGTTGTCTGAACACAAGTCTAGTTATCTTAATGCTGGCCAGAAGGAAAGACAAGCTCCCTTTCTATCTGCATACGCTCCAGGAGATGGAATACAAAAAGAAATACCCAGGCTTCATCCTGAATAATTTTCACAGTCTTCTGCGTTTCTGGCAACAACATTACCTCAACAAGGACAAAGACAGCACCTGCTTAGAAAATGTACGTCCAAAATGCAGTTGTTTTGGTATATCTTCCTTGTATTCCATTATTTTGGCCTAGTGGAGAACAAGGGTTTCTGGTTTTGTTTTGTTTTTTACAAATGGACATTCTAAGCTGTTAAATCCTAACCAGTCCAGTATGACAGCCACACTACTTATCAGGATGTGTTTTAGAAATAATGTGGGAGATGTAAAGAAGGTTTAAATGTGTGCACAAGAAAATAGAATGCATACTTTGTGTTTTTATCATTCCCCCATTATGTGTGAGTAGAACAGATGTGGCAATGTTGCAGAAACATTCTAATGCTATAATCAAGAGGAAAGCTGCTACTGTTTTTACCAGGGTGAGCTACTTTCCAGTAGATGTTACATTGTCAGAGTGAAACTCCATATTTACTATAGTTGGATCTAAACTATGCTGAATTTTTTGTTATAGAAAATTGCTGCTTGATTGGTCCATGCTATGGATATGTGAGGAATTTGTCCAGGGGTAGAAATTGTCAGATTCCCTGCACTCAGCTCCCCAGACTCCAGTTCATTTTGCAGTGGAGTTAGTCAGCGTTCCCAGCAAGTGCACGTGGCATTTACAGGGTGCTCACCCAGGAATCTAGCTTCATGCACTGTGTAAAGCAGCGCCCCTCTTCCATGCCACATGCAGCACTCATTTCGCTAGCTGCACCTGATGTAGAAGAAGGCTGGTCACATAGGGCTTACCAGGAATGGAGCCCCACGGAACCACTAGCAACGCCCCTCTTCCATGTCATGGGTAGCAGCCGTTTGTGCTGCTGCACCTGATGCAAAAGAAACATGGAAACAGAGCGAGTCAGAAGGGGTCTCCTGGGCCATCTAGTCTGACCCCCAGTCTAGCCAGCTCTGCTCACAACATGTCTACCATGTGCATGTCTAGCCTATCCTTGAACACCCTCACCAATGGGGCCTCAACCACCTCCCGTGGAAGCCCATTCCATACCCTTGGGGTCCTAACTGTCAGGAAGTACTTCCTGGCATCCAAATCGAACCTTGGTTCCTTGAGCTTGGCTCCACTGAAGCACGTCCTTCCCTCCTATGCAGGGGAGAACAGGTCTCTACCCACCTCCGAGTGAAACCCCATCACATACCTATATGTCGCCAACAGATCCGATCGGAGTCTCCTCTTCTGCAGTTCCCTCATATGGCTTCTGAAAAGACCCAGTTCCCTCATATGGCTTTCCCTGCAATCCAGCTACCACCCTTGTGGCCCTATGCTGCACTGACTCTAACCTGGGTATATCCTTCCTGTAATGAGGGGCCCAGAACTGATCACAATACTCCAGTTGCGAGTGCATCAGAGTCATATAGAGTGGTAGTAGTACCTCTCTCAATTTAGAAGCCACACTTCTGGCTATGCATCCAAGGGTGGCATTCGCCCTCTTGACTGCCATGTCACACTGCTGACTCATGTTTAGCTTGGAGTCAACCAGTACCCTGAGATCCCTTTCCCTGGCAAAGAAGGTTGCCTGTTGTATATCCTTCATCCTGCAATGGTTCATGGACTTCCTCTTAGCTTGGCTCAGACTGAGCACAAGAGGAAATTCACAAACACTAGAGGGACATGTTCCCCTAGGGTTTGTCCCAAGCTTAATCCATGCTTTTCTAGGCTGTATAAAGTACCAGAATGTATTAAGGAGTTTCTGCTTGATTTATTTCGCAGCATAACCTCAAATGTCACATGACTGGCATAGAAGGTGCCTTGTGCTGTGTAGTGACCAGTTCTGACAGTAGCAGCCTCACAAGGCAGCTTAATGAGATTATAAAATGCATGAATTATAGGAATCCTGGATGTCTTCAAGTGGTTGTGTAACTTCCCGAGACAAAATACGAATGAAAAACATTCTCATTCTGAGGTTTCTGGAGACTTCAGGTCAGGCATTATAAGAAATTGAATGTTAGAACAGGTGTCCTTCTAAAATATGAATGAAAAACATTCTCATTCTGAGGTTTCTGGAGACTTCAGGTAAGGCATTATAAGAAATTGAATGTTAGAACAGGTGGCCTTCTCCAAACTGGCTCGTGTTCTGTGTTTATTCTCATCAAGCATGTATAGTACATATGAATTTCTTCATCTTGAGAAACATCATTTTGATTTCAAAATGAAAAGTTTGTTTCTTATCATTACAATTGTGAAGATAGGCTTGAAAAGTGTGTGTGGGTAAGATGAAATCCTTGAAGCCAGAATGAGGCACAAAAGGGTCTTCAAAAGTGAGGGAACTGAATTTTATCATAAACAGGATAAATTTTGCTAAGCATATAACTTAATGTGGGCAATTTCTGTAAGTAGGAGAATCAGCTTTTCTTGTTCTATGACTTAGATTTATGCTGGGTATGCAGCCCAGTTTTGGACTTAAAGTGAAGCATGCCTTCGTTTATTCCTATCCCACCTTTTTTTTTTCTTTCAGGGAACTCAGGGCAGCTTACATAATTCTCCTCCTTTTAATCTTATATTCACAACAACAACCCTGAGAAGTAGGTTGGGCTGGGAGTCTGTCACTGGCCCAAAGTCACCCCATGAGCTCCATGGCTGAGTGGGGACTATAACCAAGAGCTCCTGAGTCCCATTCCTGTGCTCTTAACCACTACTCCACACTGGCTCTCTATACAGCACAAAGATACCAAATATGTGTCTTTAAAAAGGATTATCCCAACACCTGGATTTAGTTATGTTAGTCAAATGATCAGTTACTTAATTCTTAGATGGAAATACCTGTCTGTGTGAGCTAACAACTCATTGAGCCACTTGTGAACACAGCGTGGCGTAGCAAGCTTTCAAGTTGTACAGAGCTCTTCAGAGTTGAACATTCAACCTTGCTACCTCCTTCTTTACCACCATAGTTGTCAAAAGGCATGTGAGCCATTTTCTGCTCTGTCCTGTAACTTCCTATGTGCAACTTACTCCCTAAACCAATTGAAGTAAACTGTCCATGCAGATGTTCTAAAGTGAATTCTGGGTAACATCTTGGCTTCTCTGTGCTTAATAAAGGGTGTGTTAGATTTCTATTCAGAGCTGTTGGTGAGGGTTGGGGTTGTTCAAGGGACAGTGAGTGATGCTCAGAGGTGCTTGTTTTGCTATAGCCTAAACATGCTTTTATTTTCCTTTGCAGAGTTCATGTATTAGTTTTTCCTACTGGAAAGAGACTGTATCTATACTGCTTAGTCCAGACCGGACATCACCTTGTGCCATAGTTAGCTACATTGATGAGGCATACATGGACATTGACAGAGATTTCACCGAAGAGTAGTTCTTCCACTTCTGGCTTCCAGTGGGACTGTGCTTCCAAGGGAATCTTGCAGACAATGGATTTTCAGGGATATGCTATGTGCACAAGCTTGGAGCTATGGAATGTCACCATGTTAAACATTTTTTGCCTCCCTTCCCAGCTCTGTTTTGATGAGCAAGATGTCACAAACTTCCTGGGCAATGTTTTCAGGGACTCTTGTGTTTTATAAGAAACCGTCTGCAAAAAAAAAGCCTGGCCTTTTCCTGCTCATTGGGGCTAGACCCTTTGAGCCTAATAGATGGGATCCTTCAGTTGAGCAAGCTCTGGCTTTTCCTCCTGGTTACCAGGATCACATGTTAAAAGTGCAGACAATTTTTAGGCCATTCAAGCCAGTTTATGGGCACACCAAATGCACACCAGCCACAGTTAAGCCACCTTAGTTCCCCTCCTCCCGGGAAAAATTCCATGCTTTTTCCTTTGCATTGGGACTGAGTTGATTTTGTGTGGGTTTTGCTTGACATTCATGGAGGTAGTGGCTGTCTCAGCCTCTCTGTAAACTATTTTGGTATTTGTTTCCTTCAAAACTGTGTCCAAACTTCCTCTTTTGTTTGGTTGTGGTATTGCACACAGAAATATGTCCCTCCATTCTATGGAAATCTTTTGTCTCCAACTGATTTTACAGTGTTGTCTAAAACGGGCATACATTGTGATTATTGGATTAGTCTGAAAGCCTAGCTATGGCTAGGCACTAATAAATTAAAATCACTTAATTCTTTTTCTAAATATTGCAGCCTGACCATTTTGTCAATAAACAACCAGTACAAGATTAACATTTCCTTCCATAGTCCTGCTTTAGCTGTGAACATGAAATCTAATCTTGAATAGGAGTCTTAACTAATCTGTCTAGGAACCTAGTGCCACAGACTAAAATTACAAAATTAACACCTTTTTTTCTGGTGTATGTACTTATGTTTCTGAATTGTGATAGTTACTGGAAGTGTCCCTTATCATATTGGCACCTGTATTAGATGTTGCATGTTGTATTCCATATAAGACAAGGTACTTAGCAAGTCCTGGGTTTGCTGTTGTAACTGCCAGCATTTGAGCAAGTCACTTGGAATATAGCTGATAGTTAAAGCCAGAAAGTTTCTGAAATGAACATTTCTTGCAATATTGTGCTATAGCACTTTAGAGACTTTAGCAGCCCTTTCCTTCAGTTCTGAATTATTCTGATTGACCCTTAACATGTAAATTTACAGTTTTGAATCATTACCTACATCTGAATACATATTTGAGAAACTTGAATCCGTATGTTTTGTGTATCCTTTAAAGGAAGACTAAGTCGTAGAATCAGCCCTTGTTCTGAAGGAAATTTTTAAACATCCACAAGAAACTTAGAATAACTGGGAATGAGGGACTGTTTTCCCTTATATTTGCACTCTTTATTTTACCTTCAGGTAGAAATAATGGAAAGAACTGTTTTATTGTCGTTGACTTGGCACAGTTGCTATCCTAAATAATGAAGTATTGGTCTGAAGAAAATAAAAAACCTAGAAGCTCCCACTTCCAGGCTAAAATGTATAGTACTTCTAATTGTGAATCTATTGGTGAAACAAAACAGCACTTTATTAAGACTATTACCATCTGTCTTGTCCTTTGTGGCTTGTCAAAAGTTAAAATGGAAACTTGGAAGCAAATTATCTGTCTGTTAAATAGAAGCAAACAGTGACACATGAGAAGAATTTTGTTTCCAGTCTACTGGCTTTATACACGCACATGCCATTAACAGATGTCATTCAAGAGTGCAGATGTTGGGACAGTGTTCAGTACAAGCAACCTTTAGGTTTACTCCCCCTCTCACCTCAGTTAAATTTATGTGCCAATTCTGGAACTCTAGTAGCCATACATTTCAAAATAAATGCTATGAATTAAAAGGTTCAAACGAATCTGAATGCCTTTTGAATAGTATTAATCATTACAGCCAAACAGCATTGCCATGGATTTGCAAAGAACACTCACTAAAACTTAATTGTCATCACCACATATTTCCTTGCCATTGAATGGTCAGGCTGCTTTTTATCCTTTATACATTTGCTCTCACTAGTGAAAATTCCTTATCTACTCCTGGGGGCAGCTTAGTGGTTTTGCCTGTATTTGTTTTTGGTTTACTGGTATAGGCAAGTGTAAGGAGATGGGCTGGGGGTTTTGACTCAGGCTGCACCATTTGCCTTCAAGCTCTAGGAAGCTTGTATGTCAGACTTCTACCATGGCTTCTCCTGTGGAACCCTCTCTGCAAATATTTAGAGATGGCAATGGTAGGCTTAAGTGCGTCAAAGAGTGGTACCAATGAGTGACAGTTAATGTATGACTAGAGAAAAATGAAGTCACTCTCTAATGGCTGTGCACCAGCTTTAGTTTGGCTTTGTAATCACTAAAGGAACAGAACTGACATGTGGCAAAAGGGTGGTCCTCACCAGGCCAGCATATGTTCCTGGAAATTTTAAGTATATCATGCTGCCCAGATTAATGCTGATTTACTAACAGCACATAAATGTATTAAATGGAAACTATTAAAAGAATTTTATTTTAAAAAGCTGCCTGGAGTAATGCCTTTCTTTTCTGCACTAATCTTCACAGCAGCTGAGCTCTTGCACTTCGTATGGAGAACCCAAATTGGGTTTAGGAATAAGTACCATAAATTGTTGGTCTTGCCAGTTCTTTATTTACTTGCAACAGTCTGAATGATCCTTGATACATAACAACCAGTTCTCCTTAAAATTAATATCTGCAGGTCTGGTATAGTTATGCATATGTAGGACGCAAGGACCTTTCAATCTGAGAATAATCACATAGTGTGCTTTGAGAAGAGGTAGCTCTCCATTTGTTTCCTAATCCATTGTCATTATTAATAATAATCTGCCCAATTACCTAAGAGGACAAAGGTGTGTTCCAGGCCTTGGTCAACTGTACTGCTTCTGTTAAATATCCTATCACTAAATGTCCTCCTTTACCTCCTCAGGCAAAGCAGAACAGCCAGAACAATCTCATTGAAGTCCCTTTCTGTGGTCACTCAGTTATTTCTTGGTGTGCAAACTTTTTAGGGGGGTATGTTCCCTTCATTAAAGTACTTGCAAACAACTCTACCACTGCTACAAGAGAAGTCTCTTCAAGTCCTTCCATAGCTGGATGAGAAACAATGACACAGTGTCCCCTTAAAAGAACTTGACAATTTTATGTATAAAGGTGGAGGTAAAAGTTAAATTTCAAACATGTTTCTAATAGGACAAATGTCACATTCTCCCATGTACCATACAAATAGGACAGAGCCTTGCTTTCATGAATGATAGGCTTTATTCACTACTGAGACCAAAATGACTGTTGCAGCCATTTACATCTATACAAAGACACACATGATAGTAGAGGTGTTGCACTGCGGCTTCTTATTCTTCATGCTATTAATTAAAAAAAGGCTTGGTTTAGAATGGTGTCCGTATACAGCAGTTTCCCAGAGTCCCAACTTCCTTTTTCCTCCATTTCTCTCTGAAACGGTTCTCCCACCACACACCATTAATTTGGAAGCCAGTGATACAATCATTGCTCTCAGAGTCTAACACTGCCTTCCTGGGAGGAGGGGGCATCTTGGCCATCTCATTCTTGCAAAGAAGGCTGCTGCTTTCGTCTGATCCAACAGAGCTTTGCTTATGTTCTTACTGTCTATAAGCAATGCCACAATGCCTCAAGGCCACCACTTGAGCAGGCTCAGTTCTGCCCTGTCCGGCCCCTAGCATTATGCACAAAAATGATTCTCCTAAAACGGGAAGGGAGATACCACCACCCAGACACAGTGCAGCCTATGGCACATCCTTATCCATTCGCCCCACCCTCAGCTCTGCTGTCCTCCACAACCCATTATGTTTCTGTGCCTGGGTAAAGAAGAAAAGTCTTCTTCCTCCTCACCCAGCATGGAAGGTAAGAAGCAAGATGAGAACCTGCCTTTTTTACATAAACAGCTTTGTCTCTCATCTTCATGGTGGCCCAGAGTTGCACCATGGTCTTTCGTTTTTTGGCACTCCTGCCCAATGTTTTAATCAGTCCCTCCCTCCTGACCATCATGTGACATACACACTGACAGCAGGGTATACCTTAATACCCTCCAACAACAGGCATTTGGGCATTTCAAATCCAATGAGTAAGTAAATATATGATACAGAATGCTGGTTGTTCTTGCATTCTGGATCATTGGGTGCTTTCCTTTCAATTGGATTTGGATTTGGTGGCAGTAAATAGATGGGGTGGAGCATTTTGGCTCCACCTGTTTCCTCAAAGAGAGCCACTTTCTGAATCCATGGTGGCTCCCCACACAGCTTGGAACAAACAAAAAAGAGCCATCTCAATCATGAGGAGAGCTCCTATGGCCAGAAAAGCTACCTTCTTCACAAAGTCATTTTCTATGGGCAGAAATTAATAATGGAGGGAAGGGAAAGCCTGGTGTGCTTCCACTCTTCATGTGTTTTACTCTCGGCAGATTTGGACAGCTTGCTTGGGCCCAAAATCTGTTTAGGAAGTGTTTGGCACAGAGACAGAAAAGGGGTGGTTATGCCCCCCCACCAGTTACCCTTGAAGGAATGCACCTTTCCCAGGGGGCGAGATCCCCAATCCTGCCTTGTTGCAACAGCTCAGCCCTTACCTTCAGTGATACAAACTCCCTAGAGCGAACCCGAAGCTTGTTCACTTGTGTCTCTGCAATATCTGCCCGCTCCTCGGCATCATCCAGCTCATGTTGTACCTTTCTGTATTTCACCAGGTTGGAGTTGGCTTGCTGTTCCTAAGAGTGGAAGATGGAATGGGTTATAAATGGAAGCACAGTTGATCATGCCCCATGTCTGTGCTATGATATGAGAAGCATGGGGGATATGGCCTACAAAGTTCATGAAGAGAGATTGGGTGGGTGATATGATCACCCTGCATACACACATGACCCAGGAGAGGGTTAAGCAAGGACAAATTATACTGAGCTTGGCAACACTGAAGTAGTGGCCTATGGGAAAATCTGAAGGACAGACATGCCCCTTATGGAACATGGTTCCTGGTTTCAATTAGTGTGGCAGCACAGTAGTAAAACATCACTGCAAAAGGGCTGTTGGTGATTCAGGAGCTTTCAGTGAAGAGGGCTCGTTTCTGCTGCTTTAAGAGCTGGGGTGCCACTGCAGAGCCCCACTTACTGCCTCCTCAAACTGGCGCTTGTAGCTCTTCACTTTGCTCTGGAGCTTGTCAATCAGTTCCTGCATCCGTGCCAGGTTTTTTCTGTCCTCTTCAGTCTGAAAGGCAATGGTCGCACATGAGCTGACTCAGGTTTTGCCAGTCTCACTTGCCCCACACTTTATAAGGATGTTCTGACCTCCTCTTCTCTAGCAGCTTCATTTTCTACAGCATAAAGCTACTCTTAACTCTTGGAGCAGTCTATATTTTATGTAATGAAATAGCAGCAGGGTGCCCAATGAAACCCTTTTTTCATCTATTTGATAATTGATCATTTCTATTCTTTGTCACTTGCTCCTTGATCTGTGTCTGCACATGCTTCTTATGGGATGAGCTGATCAAATGTATCTTCTGGGCTTTTCATTTGATCAACAAAGTGCAGGAGAAGGTATAAAGGGCGGTCTTAATGATGAACCACTTTTTGTGGGCAATCATCTGAGCAAAAAAAAAGGTTTCTGAACCCTCACCTTATCCCACCCAAAAAACATGATCTTTGTGCTCTATTTTGTTTTTGTTCACTGCTATTATGAGAGCTGCTTTGGCTCAACTGGTCTGAGAAAGAGGGCCATTCTTGTTTGCCACATGATCCCACCATCCAAGGGCTATGTAATCAATGTCCTAACTACATGTTACCATCTCCCTGAATTATTGCTGAAATGGTGGAGGGTGTATTTCAAGAAGCAAACTTTTTTGTTAAATCTCCCCAACCACCACTTTTGGCTCAGCCTTCCTGTTAATAGATTGGGGTTTGAAAACTGGATACTGAAACTTGTACCTGGTAAGTCAGTTCTTTGATCCTGCGCTCATATTTGCGAATACCCTTCTGGGTCTCTGCGTTCTTCTTTTGTTCTACATCCAGTTCGCCCTCCAGTTCTCGCACCTGAAAAGAGAATGTTCAATGTAAGCTCTTTTCCCTTCTCCATTGAGAGGGAACCTCAGAGATCTAGAATGAAAAGTCACTAAGAGCTAAATGTATATTTTGCATTCCGCCACATCATGGGTACTAAAGTTCCATGCAACAGCCCACTTCTGTAGCTCTGCAGCTGAGGTTGTGTCTGCCTTGAAACTTGGGCAAAATAGGAGTAAACAGGCCGACTTTCTGTTACCTAGATCTATCTTTCATTATCTTCCCTTGAACAGAGCTAGCTCCCCCTAAAGAAAACTTGGCATGCTTTAGGGCTATTTTCTATATGGTATTTAAACTGGATAGAGGATGAATGTCAGCAATAGACAGAAAATAAAGGCAATGAGAGATGAGTGAGTAAAAAGAGACAAGGAGGGGTTCCAGTGGGCAGGGACAGGAGACCAGAGAAGCCAGAGTACAAGATATTCTGAGCTTCCTTCCCCCCCCCCCCCCACTCCAAAGCACCCTCCTTCATTGAGCTGAAAAAACCATCGAGCCAAAACTGCCAAGTGCAGAAAATGGGGAAGCAAAGATTGCCTCTTGCGGTCCAGCTGGCTTCAACCCAGCAGGGCCCTGAAATATTAGAGACCCCTGAGTTCAGAGGCTTTGGATCAGTGAGGGTACAATCAAAAGGACTGGAATCTATGACTGGTAAGTCAGATGGATAGTTGAATCTGAAGCACAACACTGCAGTAACTTGAGCTTTTCAGGTTCACTGGAAAGCACACTAAATTATACTAGAATGTGTGTGTGGGTCAGGGTAGCGGTGGCTGAGATGGCAATAGTACACAACACTCTGCTGGTCTTAATGATATCTCTATTATCTCTCCTGCTTGTAGCCTTGATGACTCAAAGGACTCGTGGCCCACTGCAGAAAGATGTCTGCTGCAAGAAAAGGTGGCATCTCCCTCATACTGACCCTGGCTTCCAGTTTCTGGATCTGCTTCTTGCCTCCTTTAAGGGCAATCTGCTCAGCCTCATCCAACCGCATCTGCAGGTCCTTGATGGTCTGCTCCATATTTTTCTTCATCCGTTCCAGGTGGGCACTTGTGTCTTGCTCCTTCTTCAGTTCCTCTGCCATCATGGCTGCCTGGTAAGGCAAAGACCAAAAGGATGATGGAGTCATTCTTCTGACCCTGGAGAATAACTGGCAGGGTACCCTCCTCCCTGGCTGTAAAGCACGGAGGATTTCCAGCTCCTCCTTCCAGGCTTAGGGCACTGTCTCTGACTTCCAGAGGTTTTTCTAAGTAATCTTGTAGTCCCCATAGTATTGCTCATCAGACATTTTCACCCACCAAGCGGCATATTGCAGTGCCAAGTCCATTCTCCCCAATATATTTGGCTTTTTCCATCTCACTGGGTCCTCCTGGCACAACTGCACCATCCATCTCTGATCCCCCTGACTGAAGCTGCCTGCTTCCTCTGCTCTGCTCCATCAATCTCACTAATGCAGAGTCTGTGATTTCCTGATGTGCTGTTTATTTACCTGAACTAAGCCTCAGATTCTTTGCCTGTCTCGTCCTGCTCTGTCAGGTATTTATTACTAGTCGTCAGGAACTTCCCTTCTCAGAGCAACCACTCCACCCACCCCCATTCCTAAGCTTATGCACCAAGGTGGTGCTACATTAGGAAGGCCTTTTTTGTCCACTGTAAAAGAAAAAGCGACGCCCTAAGCATCCACCTACAAAAACAAGGAGGCTGTGCCCTTCCTGTCCAGTCCTTATGAAGAAAGAAGCGGTGTGTGCTGGTCATCTGACTGGGCATCGCATTTCAAAAACTTCTGCCAAACTGCTAGGAGTGCAATAGTCTTTTGAAAACAAAATCCAAATGGAAGTCTTGGATTTGCTTTTCTTTCAAAGTTCACAATACCAGTTTTGATTCCAAAAGTGGAATGCAAAAGTCAGCATCAGAATGTGCTATATTTGACATTTGACCAATGTTCCTCTCTTTAAGGAGGTTGCTTCCTGCTCATTACAGAAATCAATAAAAATGCAAGACACAAAGCTTTCACCAAATGAAAAAGAAATAAATTCTCAAGTGTCTGAAGGAAATATTTTGCCCAATACGTTTCATAAAAACTGTTTTTCCCTTCCTTAGGGGCCTCTTACCTTTCTTAGGTACACCAAAAAGAATCCTTCCAATATTTATTTTATTTTGAAATGCATTTCAAATTCTTACATTTCAAGACAAAATAAACATTAGGAGGGATTGTCTGAAGAAAGGTGAGGTTCCTGGGGAAGGAAAAGGTTGGATACCTGTTAGATACCACAAAGCAGCACTTGGCCATGCAGACTGAGAACTGTGGGAGCACAAATCCAGAGCATGCTGCATGGCAAAAGCTTCCTATAATCTCTTGATGGCTGCATATAGAATCAGACACTGACTGCATCTGTACATCAGCTTTCAGTCACTGTCAGTTATGGACGGCTGTATGTCAGCTATCAGGTACAGCTCCTCCCCAAGTGAGAAGTGACCATGGCCCTTGAAACATACGCACACTGCTCCCCTTTCAGGATCCCCACACCCCATGTTCTTCATGCCGCCTTACATCAGTAATGGCTTTCTTCGCCTTCTCTTCTGCATTCCGACACTCCTGCACTGCCTCCTCTACTTCGGTGCTCAGCTGAGAGATGTCTGCTTCCATCTTCTTCTTCTGGTTAATCAGCCCTGTGTTCTGGGAGACGACAGGGATTGTGCCACATTAACACACCTACTATGTGTTAGAAGAAGTTAAGTAGTAGAAGTTAAGACTTCTACTATGTCAGACTATTTGTATTACCAACAGGTAGACAATAGTCCATCACCTGCTCTGGCGGGGAAGCAACACAGCAGGGTCTTAAGCAGAGGATTTTCCCTATCTTGAGCTTTTTAACTTGACATAATAGGAATTGAACCTAGAATCTTTGGCATGCAAAGCAATACACTTCTTCTGAGCCACTGTGGTATTTCCACGTTGGTTGTGATATCAGGGGAGGGTTGTGTGGGTAAGGCTAGAGAATACTAAGAGCAGGTGTTGACATAACATGCATGAATCAACAAATGAGATGTGCTTTGATGTACAATCCATGAAGTCACTCACACATTTTTGGTGTAACAAGCCAAGCCTGTCTACCCTGCATGGTAAAACACAGTTCACCTGCTATGTATACGCCATCGCTGCCAGTCTTCTTTTAGCCTAGATCCAAGATGGATTAAGAAACTATACTGTGATTTGGAGAAGCTGCAGTGCATGGATGATAGCAACAGATCAAAATCACATGCTTTAAAATATATATTAAATTGTGGATCAAGTATTCTGGGATAACAGCCTTCTCAGAGTTTTACACTCATGATGTCAATACTTTTTAGAAATAAACTTCACTTTAAAAGAAAATGTTACAAGTAGTGGGAGGAATCTCTTCAAACTTTTTTTTAACCATCTAGCTTGCAAACAAAAAAGTGAGCCAAGTGTATTAAGATAATTAACTAACTATGGTATGCATCCCTTAGCCAAAGGACATGTGGCTATTAGCTAGGTAAGCTGGAGTCCATCTGCCTCTTCTGTGCCAGTTCTACCCAGAAAATGTTGGCATTATTCTGTGTTATAGGAAAGGGCATGCTAAAAAGTGATGATCTGGGAACAACAGCATGCATTAGTGACAATGTTCCCGCTAGAAAGTTCTGTGGTCAAACCAGCATTGTATGTCCTCAGCCTCAATGTAGGGTGCCATTTATATAGCCGCCTCCTAGAAATTATTCAGGACAGGAAAATAAAAAGGGACTGTGAAGAGCACCGAGAATATCTCCAAACTGGTAGATGGACAATAAAATGGAAAATGCAGTTCAGTATAAATCCTTGTAAAGTAACAAACACTGGGGCAAAAAAAAAAAAAAAGGATGGGCAAAAGATCTTGGGGTCAATGGTAGATACTTCAGTATGAACACTGACAGAATGAATGTCACCTCTGAAAACGCAGAACTCAGTGCTAGGGGATTATTAGGAAAGTGGCTGAAAAATAAAACTGTCAATATCATAAGGCCTTTATAGAAATTAGTGGTGCAATTATCCTTGGAATTCTTGAAGTACATTTCTGGTTGCTGCATCTCATATTGTAGAGAGGCAGAAAAGGATCAGAAATGATTAACCAAAAGAGTCAAGGAGCTGGAATACCCCTCCCATGAGAGAAAATGTTACAACACTTGTGTGTGTCAGGGCAGGGTGGGTTGCCTTAGAAAAAAGGGAAGTGTTGGAGGTGGACACAACAAAAATGTACACAATTATGTACTATGTGGAGAAAGTGGATTTTGATCTCCTTCCTCATAATACTAGAAACTTGGGGTCATATATGAAGCTGAATGATGGGAGAGTTGAGAATGACAAAAGAAAATATTCCTTCATATCCCATACACTGTGTGGCATACTACACCTGAAGTATATTTTGTACATCATGAGTTCTACAATGAAAGAAAGAGGAATATAAATGTAATGAATATAAAATGCCGATAAATATGCCTCATTCTTTGGTTTTTCAAAAAAAAAAAAAAAAGACAACATCCCTTTCCAGGCAAACAAGACGTTGCAATGTCTTTTGGACAATCCTATTTCTCACTGTGTTAAGCCATTCACAGGACACAGTCTCTTTATGCATCAGTAAATTTAACCCAATAAATATGGAAACTATTTTTGACAGGATTATTTATCCCTGAATTAAGGAGCTGCAGAGCAGGAGCACCAGAACACATCAAGAATTAGTGCAATTGAGTTCAAAAGTTGCTTTCCATCCTAGAAACGCATCTTCTGTCTCACCTGGGAGTGCAAAAGATTGACCCTCTCGGTAGCCTCAAGCAACTCCTGCTCCGCCAGCTTCCTTCCACGCTCAGACTGTTCCAGGGCTGCACGCAACTCTTCCACCTCAGCCAGCATCAAGTTGTTGCGTCTTTCCAGGGCCGCGGCCTGCTCCTTCAGATCATCATTATGGCGCAAGGTGTCATCCAGTTCTATCTGCAGATCCTGTCAGCCACACCAAAAGAGGAGTTAAGAGACAAACAAAAGCTAGACACCTCCTGCAGAACTAGAGATTGGAGAAAGTCTTCAAGGATCCTCAGTTCCAGGCCTGGACAGGGCCAGCTCAAGACCCTTTTGCTGTGAAGGACAAGATGCTGCCCCTCCAAACTCCCTTGCACGATGCTGGCTGGACTGGCAGCAAAAACCTCTTCAACAGTGGTGATTGGACAGTGTTCCTCACTGCACCCAAGGCAGAAGGTTTGCTTAGGGGCCTCGGAACAGGTTGTGCAGTATACACAGTTCTGTCCTTGAAGAGAACAGCTGTGGAGCTCATGAGGCATAACCAGGAGTCCACTACATCTGGCCACCCCCTGCAATATCTGCCACCTGAAGTGGCCCCCTCACTCTGCCTAATGGCAGGGCGAACCCTGATTCATTCATTTCCTGCACTGATTGAGTGCAGCCTTTTCTTATGGATTCAGAAGGTGGAAGCCATGGAGAGAGTCAGAAACATAAGAAAGCTCTACAGATCAAACCTTACCTTAATTTGTGCTTGGAGCTGCCGCACCAGTTTCTGAGACTCAGCAGCCTGGCGATTTGCATGACTCAGCTGTATTTCCATCTCATTCAGATCTCCTTCCATCTTCTTTCGCAACCTGATAGCCTCATTTCTCGCTTTGGCTTCTGCATCCAGTGAAGCCTGCATGGAGTCCATGGCTCTCTGATGGTTACGCCTACAAAGAAAGATACTTAGGAAAAGGCACTTTTTATCATAAACACCATGCTATGGATCCACCATCATGGCATGGCTTTCTGAAAAGAACGTTTGCATGCACATTCAGTCTATGACTGTTATGAAGGCATTAGAAGACCAAAGTTACACCCTTCCTTGCTGTCCAGCTCCAGAGGTACAGCAGTTTTATGCAACAACCTGCCAAATAAATGATATTCCTAACCTCAAGTTCTCAAACTCTTCATCCTTCTCTGCCAATTTCCTGTCAACATCAGCCTTGATCTGGGACAACTCCAGCTGGATGCGCAAGGTCTTGCTCTCCTCATGTTCCAGGGCTCCCTAGAGGGAGAAGGGGAAATAAGTCTTTAGTGACAAGTATCACTGAAACATCCATTCCCAACCATGCCCTTAGGTTTGGACACCATCAAGGTTATTCACTAAGTTCCTTACAATGTGTTTGTCAGGCATCTGGAGATGCTTTAAGAGCAAAAGCATCATTTGTACTTTTCTGGCCACCAGATGCCACCATATAGCCATGTAGACAGCCTGCTTCTTCTCTGGGCGCATTGGCACTGCCAAGGCTGGACCCTAGGTCAAGTCCAGGACCCCACAGTTCAGAGGACCCCAAATTCCCCATGACCCAGAGGGCAGCAGGTGAAGGGAACACTGCCAAAAACAACAGGCACGGGGAGAGCAAGGAAGATCATTATTGTTCCCTTCACTACTGGGCTGGTGCACATGGGTGTCCAACGTGCCACAAAACCTGGGACTAAAAACAGGAGTTTTTAGTTTTTCCAAGACTTTGCATGTTAAAAAGATGCAGTTTCTGAGCTGTACCACAGCCCCTCATAATGCCATACTTCACAAAGTAAGATTTGTGCTTTCCAGGTTCTTACAGGGTTTTTTTTTAAACCATAGAGCACTCACACACCCATCCCTTGAATTAGGCTGCTTCTTTCACTGACTGAAACTTCTGCAGACTACACTTTAGGTGAGATGCAACTTAAACCCAATGCATAGCAGTATAGGATTAGCATGGTCTCTGCTTGCTAGGTACTCACCTCAGCCTCCTCCAGGGCTGCCTGGATGTCACTCTTCTCACTCTCCAGGCCTTTCTTCAGCTTCTCCAGTTCATGGATGGTTTTGCCACTCATGCTGATCTGATCAGTCAAATCAGTAATCTCCTCTGGTTGGAAAAAAGACATGGCCAAGAATTACAGGCTTGTTTATGGCCATGACATCCCAGGTTACTCCAAGCCATTTTCCACCCTCCTCAGAGCACCCTCCCAGCCTACAGTAACAACCACCGCTATGCTCACAGGACACAACCTCTTGCTTTTCAGTTGAAGGCCAAGATCTGTGGTCACAACTTGTGCTCTGGATTATTTCCCGTCATGTTACAGATTACTCATCACTAATGCATGTTAAATACATAGTGTGCAGGTGATCCTGACTTGCCTTTAACCTTCAAGCAAGCAAGGGGGAGCTTGGTTTTAAAAGGGACCAGCAAGCATGTATTGAGATGTATTGAGACTTCAACTGGCAGCCAGTGCAACTGGAAGCGGACTGGCATAATATATTCTCATGAGCCAGTCCCCATTGATGGTCTTGCTGCCATGTTTTGGACCAGTTGACGTTTCTGGGCCATTTTCAAGAAAGCCCCATGTACAGCACATTGCAGTAACCCAAAGGAACGATTACCAGAGCATGGATAACTGTAGCTAGGCTATCTCTGTCCAGATAGGGTCATAGTCGGTATATCAGTTTAAGCTGATAAAAGGTGCTCCGTGCCACTGAGTTGACTTGTGCCTCAAGTGACAACACTGGGTCCAGGAGCACCTGCAAACTGAGAGCCTTGTCCTTTAGAGGGAGTGCAACCCCATCCAGAACAAGTTGAATATCACCCAAATGGACAGATCAACCACCCATTAACAGCACCTCCGTCTTGCTGGATTCTCATTTTGGTAGCCCTCATTTAATCCATTACCATGCTCACACTGATTCAGAGCAGGCACTGCCTCACCTGGGTTTGATGAAAAAGACAGGTAAACTGAGTGTTATCTGCATATTGGTGGTACCTCAGCCCATACCTATGGATAACCTCCCCCAGTGGTTTCATGAAGTTGTTAAATAGCATAGGGAACAAAAGCGAACTCATTGGTACCCCATGGAATAACCTCCAGGGCACGAAGGAATACTCCCTCAGCATCACCTTCTGGAATTGGCCAATCAAGTAAGATTGAAACCATTGCAATGCAGTGCCTCCTACTCCTAGACCAGCCAGCCTATCAAGATGAATACCATGGTTGATGGTATCAAAAGCTACTGAGAGGAGAATCAACAGAGACTCCCTCCCTCCTTGAAAACCTTCTCCTGGCAAAGGTCACCCCACAGGGCAATGAAGGCAGTTTCCATTCCAAAACCAGCCCTGATTGAAATGGATCTAGATAATCTGTTTCATTCAAGGGCCTATGGAGTTGTTTTGCCACCACCTGCTCAAGCACCTTGCCCAAGAAAGGAAGTTGGCCACTGGCCTGTGGTTATTAACATCCTCTAGATCCAGACTAGAATAATTCCATCGCTGGCAATACCTTGTAGGTTCTTGTTTTCACGTTTGAGAGTCTCTAGATTCTCTAAAGACTCCTCATAAGCATTCTTGAGCTTGAAGAGTTCTGTGCTCAGGCTGCGGGACTCCTTCTGAGAGGCTTCCAGCTCTGATTGTGTCTCCTCATACTTCTGCTTCCATTCAGCAATGATCCTGTCAAAATTGCGCTGCTTCTTGTCCAAAGCGGCTGCCGCTGAGTTGGCTCTCTCCAGGTCAATCGACAGGTCCTCAATCTCAGTCTGCAGTCGGTGCTTTGTCTTCTCCAAGGAGGAGCATTTGGCATGTGCTGCCTCCACAGCCTCCTCTGCCTCCTGCAGCCGGATGGCCAGCTTCTTCCTGAAAATTGTCTTGGTTAGCTATAGAAGTACTTGGTTAACTACTGTGTACACATGAAACATGAAGCTCCAGAAATGCTGCTAATCACACCCACCAACTCTATCATCTTTAGACTGAAAAGTAGTCTTCAACAGAAGACTGGTAGAACCAATGCAAACTAGAAGAAACAGGAGAATTAGGATACATTTATTAGATTTGCATACTGCCCAAGTGGCAAACACTATCAGGGTGGTTTACAATCACAAACCTAAACAGCAAGAACAAAATAATAAATATACAACCTTAAAAGTATCAAAATACTATAACATTGAACATCAAAAGTGGAGAAAAATAATTAAAACATTGAGAAACCTACAGTAAAATTAATAATCACCAATAGATAAAAGATTAAAGGGTCAAGCCTATGCAAGTTTAGACAGATAAAAGGCCTACAACTCTGGGAGTACTGGATGCTAGGCCTTTTTCTGTCTAAACTTGTATAAGATTGAACCTTAATATTTGTTTAAAGAGGAAGGTCTAAACCTGGCATCTAAATCTATACAGTAAAGATGCCAAGCAGATCTTCCTGGTAAGTACATTTCACGGACTAGAAGCCAGTATACGTTTTTCTATACAAAGTATGCATTGTGCATTTGTGATTCCTCATTCACAGTAGTTTGAGAGTGCTTTGCACAATGTCATCATTCTCTAGGATGTCTCCTGTTCTTTGCAACCATTTCTGTGGCTTGTTTTGTAGATCAAGGAAAATGTGGTATTATTGAGAAATGACAGTGCTAAACCCTCATGAATATACACAGTTCTATATTACTGTGCCACCTGTTGGTTGTGTAACTGAACAAATCAGAAGGGTAGTTAAAGAAATTCCCCAATGAAAAACATGTTTAATGAAGCCAAACTTGAGCCCACAAAGAATCTGGAAGCAGAAGTAAAGTCGAGGAGGGATTAAAAGTCTCATGTAGAAAAGCTTTATAGAAAAGACTGTTTTTCCAGTAACCTCTGAAGATGATCTTAGCAATCAGGAAAGAACACATGTGAAAAGGGACTCCGTCACACTTCCTCTTTCTTCCTACTTTCTTCTGGGAACATTCCTTAGCATGGAGTTCTCCCCTTCCTGTTATACTCAGCTGCAAAGCACCATCATGTCAAAGCTGCTTCATTCCTTCACAGAACCCTGGTCCCACATAGTGTGTGGCATGTGAAGTTAGAAATAGAACTTTGCTAGAACTTACTTGGCTTCCTCCAGCTCCTCTGTCCTCTGGATGGCATCTGTCTCATATTTGGTCCTCCACTGGGCCACTTCAGCATTAGCCTTTGACAGGGACCGCTGGAGCTCCCCCTTGGCCTCCACCTCTTCTTCATATTGTTCCCGCAGAAGGTCACAATCATGGCGCGATGCTTGCAAAGCATGAGCCAAAGCATTCTTTGACTGGAAGGTTGAAGTCATATGCGTCAAAATTAAATAACATTTGATCAGAAACCCTGCTCCTAAGTCCTAAGACATGGGGACTGCAGTTATTCAAGCCTTCACCATATGTTGAGAGGCACTTCTCTTTACTGTTACTAGACATTACAGTATTTGGATTGGCTATGGAAAAACAGTAGTAGGATGAACCTAAGTGAGCTTCAGCATGCAAAATTCCCGCTCCCTGAAATACCAGCTCTTCCCTGCAGGTGTAACCCCAGCCAGATAAGCGGTCACCTTGGTCTCTTCTTCTAGTTGTCTCTTGAGTTCATCAATGGTCTGAGTAAAGGATGTCTTGCCTCGACTTAATTGGTTTATTAGAGATTCTTTTTCTTCAAGAAGACGGCTAAGTTCTCCTAATTGTGTAAAAAACAACAACAACAAAAGCATCTTTGTGAAATCAATTTACTAGAAAAATCCTAATTTCCTGTAGCTTTGGCATCAACAAGAGCCACATAGCAACTTTTGGGTTTGATCTTGATTTCCTAAATATGGTTTCAGCACAGAAGGTACATTGTTTAAAGATTACCGGTGTGGGCAGCATGAGTTACTACAACCAACAGGACACAATGCAGACCTTGGCATCTGTCTGCACTGAAGAACCCAAAGGTTGAAGCAACCTCACATTGCTAAATAACTGCTCCCTGAAGCACTGCCCTAGAAAGCCATTGACAGACAAAAAGCCTGTCCTCATTCCTCATCCAGAACTGTGATATTTACCAAGTTATAACACAAACCTGCTCTGAAGAGCATGTGCAGCTGAATTAAAGGTATTTTGTTTATTACAACACCATACATTGGAAACTCAGGGAATGAGAAAAACTTTGAAGGCTCCTTCCCATCTCCCACTTCCATCCCATCCCATCCTTTTTTAGTACATTTTCTGACTTACTTCAGTTTGCCTTTTTGGTTTTATGACAGTGTTTGTTGTGTTAATATGACATTAAAATTAGTGAAACAATAATAGTTGCAGTAGTAGAAGTGATAGGATGGATGGATGGATGGATGGATGGATGGATGGATGGATGGAATAATGACTGGAGCTACTCACTATCCCTATACACAGAAAACAGTTATATTGGTTCAAATTCAGCGTCAATAGTATTTTACCATATAAACCCAAGGATAGGTATTTTAAACAGAGTGCTAGCAACAAAAGATGTAGCCATATCAATCAAAAGGGAGCCAAAGTGCTCTGAGTGTAAGAAATCTAGCCTGGTTATGCTTTCTGGAAAGCAAAAGTCCAGGAAGCAAAGTTGTGGATCTACTGCTTAGGTATCTACTGGAGGTAAGCAGCAGATCTGAAAGTGATTCGTGGCTCCTGATCATGTAACAAGAGTTTTGGCATCAGCAAAGACTTTGCTCAACGCACCATTTTCAGTTTGCAGTCTTCCACGCTGGGTGCTCACATCAGCCAGTTGGCGCTGGAATTCATCCAGCTTTGATTTGGTTTCACTCAGCTGATCCTCATATGTTCGACAAAGCTTTTCAGCATTTGCCTGGAACAGCAACAAAAGGTCTCTCTGGATGTCTGAAGTGCCATGCATTATACCAGAAATGTCTCTGGGCCATATCCAGCCTGCCTGAGGTCCCCAGCTGGCCATGCCACCCCCTTTCCAACAAATGCCAATCATTTAGTAGTTACCAAAATTTTGCACAGGATCTCCCCATTCTAAAAGGTTGAAATGCCTCTCCTAAGTCACTGGTAGTAAGAGCTTTTAGCTAAAATGTGCTAATACTTTTGGTATTTTGACCCTACCCCTTTTGCATTCAGCCCCAACCTCAACTGAAATGTGGCCCCCAGGAGCTGGTAACTCCACTTTGGGTACTTTCCCCCCTTTCCCCCTTTTGGTTTAGAATTATAACACTGAATTAGCTCTAGTGGGTGGGAACTATTCACATGCATTAAATACTCCACCCGACATATATAAATACCCTGCTGCATCTCCCTGCCTTTCAACACAGTGGTGCCCAAAAAGCAGAGGTTTCAGTAGATTGCATTAACTTAGCCAGTCACCTTGTTCTTGGTGAGGTAGTCAATGTTGGATGACAAATCATCAACCTCCATCTTCAGCTCACTCTTCTCCTTCTCCAGCTTCTGCTTGACTCGCTGCAAGTTGTCAATCTGTTCACCCAGTTCAGCCACAGAATCTGCATGCTTCTTGCGCAGAGTTGCAGCAGTCGACTCATGCTGCAACGTGGCCTCTTCCAGGTCTCGGCGCAGTTTCAAGAACTCTGCCTCACGTTTCTTGTTCAGTTCGATCTGACAAGCAGTGGCCCCACCTGCTTCTTCTAGCCTCTCACTCAGCTCTTCCAGCTCATGGGCCACCTCTGCCCGCTGCTTCTCTACCTTGGCTCTGGCAGCTCGCTCTGCCTCCAGTTCCTCTTCTAGTTCTTCAATACGGGCCTGGATGTTGAGGAAAAAGGTCAGGAACTACCGAACAGCCCTGCCCAGAATGGAGGAGGAGACTCCAAAGATTTTGCTTGGAATTGGATGACTCAATACTTCAAGCTGGGCCCCCATCAACAAATGGACTATCTAAGTTCTGAATTGCCAAGAATATTCATATTGTAGTGGACCACAAAGCCCATCAGATTTAGCTCTGTGACATTACTGATGGTAACTAAGCCTATTGAGATCAAGGAAGTCCTGTCTAAACTGGTCATATGGAGAATCTCAGTCAGCCAGATTACTATTGATTGTCCTCTCTCTATGTCAGCTACATTGACAAACATTTTGCTTCCTTTCAATGCTAGCTCCTGAAACAATTGCCAGAGAGGGTGCTTTACAAATCCACAGAAGATGTACACAAAGTGGACACACACACTTTTTTCAGCCTTAAATGCCTCTTTCAGTGAAGATACCAGGGGAACAGTTTTATGCCATTTGGGGATGGAGCTACTTAGGTCAGTCCTGGTAACATATTCAGCTTGCCACTAATATAGAAACATAGAAACAGAGCGAGTCAGAAGGGATCTCCTGGGCCATCTAGTCTGACCCCCAGCTCCAGCCAGCTCCCTCATGACACGCCTACCATGTCTATGTCCAGCCTATCCTTGAACATCCTAACCGATGGGGCTTCAAGCATCTCCCCTGGTTGAAACTTCAGCTGGCACATCTCTCTCTTGCATGAACACCTACGTTGTAAGCCATCCAGTGACACAAGGAATGGACGGCACACAAATTTTATAAATAAATAAATACACAGCATTAAAATTAAAATGACTGCTCATCATGTGTGAAGCAGCCTACCTTAGATGAATGCTGGCCCATTCAGAGCTCCTGAACAGGCTATCATAGCTTTACCTGGAGTTCTTTAATCTTCTTCTGCAGCTGAGCAGCAAGGACTTGCTCATCTTCAATTCTTGAATTTAACTGGTTCATTTCAAAGTCTTTCCTATGAAGGAAAATAGAAATGGCATGCACTTACATTGAAGTTGCTGTAATGTTCACTCAGAAGGGACCCTGGTGGTTTGAAACTGTAAACCTGTTGAAAGTATTGTTTAGTCGCCATGTTTAATCCTTTGAGCCATGTGATAATCGTGAGGTTTGAGGCTCAGGGGAAGACAGGTTCACTTCTGGCTATTAGGCCTAAAATTCTGAAGCCATAATTTGCACCTCAGCTGTTTGCATTGTGCCAGTTTATCTTATCCTCCCTCTTCTCTCCCTAGTAACTAAAGCCTCTAGCTGGACACACAGAAGTACAACAGGTAAAAAGAATAAATCCTAGGAGATATGTGCTTAAGTCCCACTGGAATAAGTAAGGCACAAAACCCTACCAAGTCTCCATTTCTCTCTTAATGGGCCCTAGAACAATATTATGAGCACTACAACCTTCTTTTCAAGTTGGCATTTAGATGCTACAGTAAAACAAATAATCCTTTTCAACCCATAAGTATGGCTGAGAAATCTCAGGTGAAAATATGTAGCACCCCATGTTAAGCTCTATATCTTCTACTTCTGCCATTCGGATTGCTTAAGCTTGGTGAAGCCTGCTTGACCAGGTTTGGCTTGGCTGTATGCTCCTATTTGCATTGATGGCTTGCTCACTTTTTGAGCTTCTCCTCCAGCTGCTGTTTGTCATTCTCCAAATCCATCACAGATTCCTGAGTCAGCTTCAAATCGCCTTCCAATTTGCGTTTTGCTCTTTCCAGGTCCATTCGTATCTTTTTCTCTTGTTCTAAAGCACTTTCCAGCTGGACAGCACAAAGAAAAAGGGGATCAGAAGTGTTCTGCTGACCCTCTTCCCTTCTCTCTAACATGTCCCCAAAGCAGTAGCTTCTTACGCAAAAGCTCAGCTTTATCTCCTGCAGCTGGAACTTCCCCAGAGTATCTAATCCTGGCACATTATGATGGGGTTGAAACAATTGCAAGATAGATTTCTCTGGGTAGAAATGTCAAAGAATTGGATAACTAGCTATGGTTTAGGCCACTAATACTGATAACATCCTAGCACAGCATTTCTAGCTAAACATTTGTACCTCGCCATCTGTTCCCTAGTGAGTTCCTAGCAAGGTATCTGGCTACTGTTTAGAACTTATTGGTCATATACCATATTGTATTGTACAATAGCATAACGTATCAACCAGTTCTCCTCAAACTGTAGCTCCATAGGTGGTTTGGAGAACAACCCCATCATTCTTGTCCACTGCCCACTGATGTTTGGGCTCGTATGAGCTATAGTCCCAAACATTTGGAAAGAAGGAGGATGAAGAAGGCTGATATAGATCCACATAGAGATAGAAATAATAAGTTTAATGTGTTTCAAAGTCCCTTCTTTCATCAAAGCAGTCTTTTTATTTTTTACCACCATTACTGACTTTTCTGTTGATGGACTCACATCATCCACTTGCTGTTCCAGCTTGACTTTGGCCTTGGCCAGAGTGTTCGCTTTGTCCTCCTCAGCCTGAAGGTCATCCAGAGCTTGCTGGTGGGCTTCCTGCAATGCCTTCTTTTCCTTGGTCAGCTTAGCAATGACCTCATCTAAAGCAGCCATTTCTTCAATCAGGTTTTTCACCTAGGATGATGTGACAAGAGAGAATATACAAATCATAGGGCAGGGAACACAAGCACTGACTTAAAGTTCATCTGGTTCTTTAGCAAATATAATAACTACGTTAAATGTAGATCATGAAAGAAGGTAATTTTTCTTAATCTCACCAACTGATAATGAAAGGTGCTAGGAAACTATGCCTTACCCTCACCCCCAATATCCCAAATGTGTTATTTCTGCTAATAGAGAGAAGAACATGTTATCTTTGCGGTGGTGCTTTGAGGCTTCTGAATGCAATTAAGAAGTGCAGTGTCCAGTATGTCTCAGAAAACTATTTTAACTTCAGCTGGTGCAAGTCTCAATTGCATATACATACAGTGCTAATATGTCACTGAATTTTTGTATTTTTTACAATTTACAAAAGCACCAAAGGGTAGTCTACACAACATTTTAAGAATTAAATCTAATATAATTAATTACCTTACAATTGCAAACTACAAAACAAATGAACAAAAGCCCTAATATGTGCAAAATGGCCAAACCAAAACTGCTTACCCATACAGGGACATGTATCCTATGCAATTCTAGATAGAAACAATTACCAGGATAGAAACCTTATAAATAAGAATACCTGTTTCTTATTATACTGGCTGCATTATGCCAGGAATTGCTAAACTTATTCTGTCCAAACTTGCAAACAATTTTGTCCTTTCAGGCTTTAAATTGCAGACTTAATTTTGCCTGCTCTTATTTAGCACAATTTGGCTCACCTTGTTTTCTGTGGCATGTTTTTCTTTCTCCACCTTGGCCAGGGTGATCTCCAAGTCATCAATGTCTTTCTTGAGCTCAGCACATTCATCCTCCAGCTTTCGCTTCTTAGAAGTCAGCTCTGAGTTCATCTCTTCCTCATCCTCCAGGCGCTCTGTCAGTTCTTTCACCTTGGCTTCCAGCTGGATCTTGGTCTTGATCAAGAGGTCACAGCGTTCTTCAGCATCAGCAAGGTTGTCTTGCTCCTGTAAAAGGCATCCAACAGCAGCATTTACCACACTGGACTGTGCTGCTGATTCTCTATCATGATACAGATCTTGCATGTGGCACATTTGTCACTTCTGTCTAACTCTTTGAAAGTTAAGAACTTGAGTCTCACCTCATTCAACTCTCTAGTTCTTCCATGCATTCCATGCATTTTTGGAAGTTAAAATATAATTGTCACACACACACATGCATGTGTGTATACATACACAGAGAGAGAGAGACCCAAGTAACTAGCACAGAATCAATAGATCTTTCAATAACTTCAGCTTACATTAAAATTGCCACAACAAATCTTCATCTCTCATGGTTACCTACTAAGAGTTCCTCTGAACAAAGCATTTGTTGCATATGCCATATTCCTTACTCATTGTAGTTTATGGGTTCTTTAGATGACAGTGTGACCCTTCAGTTCTGCTTCTTTGTAAGCAGCACTTACAAAGCAGGGAAAATGGAGTATTATTTCTGACATGAAAATCAAGAGTGATTTCCTCTCCTAGCACACCACAATGCCACCTAGAGGTTATGTAGCAGAAAAGGAAATGCTGTTTGTATAAAGCTCACATTTGAAGGGCTATGGATAACTCACCGCCTGAAGCTGTAGTGATAGGTCATTCTTTTCTTGGATAATGCTGACTTGTTTCTCTTCAAGCTCCTTCCGTTTAGCATCTGACTTCTCCAGGGCCTCCTTCAGTTTCTGTAATTCTTCTTTGAGGACAGCCAATTCCTTCTCTGACTGTGCTGACTTGAGGAGAGGCTTGATCTTGAAGAAAAGCTTCATCCAGGACCAATTTTTCACAGCATTAAAAGCACGGATATTCCACTGGATGGTGTAGAGTGCTTCCCTTTGTGGAACAGACAAAGTATGGGATGCTATTCAGTGGACATTCCTACTGCCTGACCACTGCTTATATCAAAGCAGTACATTCATGCTCCCACTTCAAACTAAAGCTACGTGGAGGAGCTCAGTATACTAGTCTAGCTTGTAAACACACTTTTTTGTCTGAGAGACAGATCCATTGTGCTCTATTTTATTGTGAAACTTACAATTTGTATTACTGACGTCATGGTCTAATCTGCTTTCCCCAACATGGTGCTGTCCAGATGTGCAGGACTACAACTCCCAGTATCCCATAATCAAATGCATCTGGATGACACCAGGCTGAGAAAGGCTGTTCTGAATTAATGGATAAGATCAGGGGTGGGAATCTTTGTGGCAACACTTCTGGCTAACTCAGGGGTGTAGAACCTCAAGCCTGAAAAATGTGGTCCCTTTGCGATCCCAGTCTGGCCCTCCAGGTTCTCCAGTTGTCCATGACTCCCTCCCCTCTCCTTCCCAATTTCTCCAAACTACCAATAGTGTTGTGATTTCCCAGAACTGGAATATCTTTGCCTATTCTAAAAGGTTCAAATGCCTCTCCTAAACCTCTGGTGGTGAAAGCGTTCAGATAAAATACACTGGAATTTTTGAAATGCAGCCCCTCCGCCCCGAGCTTCTCAAAACTGGAATTCAACCCTCAAGCTGAAGGAGGTTCAACAACCCATGGCTAACTAGTCACAAAAGTGATGGTTTGTCATATCTCAGTTGGTGATGAGCAGCAAGGGCCATGACAAGGTTGGTTTGTGGCTGTACCTTCTGCGGAGGATCCGCTGATACTCAATTCTCATCAGACGTCCCCGCATCCTGGCCTGCAGAAGGGTGATAATCTTGGCCAGACGTTCATCTCGCATCTCTTCCAGTAGACCCAGCAAGCCTGCTTTGAAAAACACCTGTGAAAAGGAAAAATGTGTGGAACCAAAATGAAGGGGACTCTGATGTTGAATCATCAGTTTCAAACATTCTGAAGGACATTTTCCCCAGGCTGATTCCTTACATTTATTATGTTTAACTAAGATCCAAACTAAAGAACATTGGAAAAATATCTTATCCTTTATATATCAAATAATGGTATATAGGATACTCTTAGATCTAAAAATAATTCTATTCTTATATCTCAAAAGTATTTATTATATTTGTAAGCTCCCCTTTAGCAAATAAAAGTATAAAACAGTTTTTATAAAAGGAATACTGAAAATATATTGCAGCATTAAAACAAATTCCAAATTTAAATCAAGATTATTCACACATTGATAGGTCTGGAGAAAAGCCATTAACCAAAAATAAAGAGAAAGCAGAAACAGTAGATTTACAACTAATAGTTAGATTACCGATAGCAGCAAGAATATGTAGCACTAACTGTTGGAAACAACATTTACCCCAACATGTATTAATTTGGAGACAAATGCAATCATAATGTACAAATAAAATATTGTTATTGGTATATTATTAAACTTTCCTAGATATTTTTATCAATTTTATTTCTCTGTTATGCTTATTGATATAGTATGTTCTTATTGAATTGGTTATGCTAAATTTTATATAGTATGTGAATAGAACAAGCAAGGAAATGAGTTAGGAAAGTGAATGTCCATAACATAAAAGTAGGCTAGATACTGAACAAGAAAGAGGAGGATGAAGAGAAGAATCTGAAATAAAATTGCTAAGAAATAAATTTAATTTATACCTACACATTCTCCCAACTCTAAAAGCAAACCATTCAGTTCCTAAATGCTATCTGCACACCAGGTACCTTAGTGTGTCCAAACTTGTACTGCGTATGGTCAAGGTCCAAGGAATTCAGCAGCTTCTCTGTGGCCTTTCTGCTATCCACAAACTTGTCATCTGGAATGGCAGCAGGATTCAGGATACGGTAGCTGGAAGGATACAGGACAGGACATCAGGAAGAGATGCTGATCACCCAGAGTCCTTCCTCATCTAAGGACTACCTGCAGTGGCCGTTTTAGCAGAGATTAGTTTAGTGCATGCAGAGACTATGCTGGGTGTGCTCTGAGGCCAAGCCATGTACTGATTGGTTGGCTGAGTTATTCGTTAACCCTAACCCTAACCCTAAACCCCAAGGCACTAATCTGAGTAACAGGAAGGATCTTTTCTCTCACACCTGTTATCCAAATGAAAGAAAGACGGACTCCTTACCACACACTAAGCCTGAACATGCCAATACCACATAATTTAAATGCATCACTACCCCATAATTCAAAGATCAACAGCACAGGAAAAGGGCTTGCTTTGGTGCAGGTAAGTGATTCTGTTTCTATTTTAAAACATTTTCATCCCACCTTTCCTCATAATGGTTAAAGATTGTTGAACAAATGGTCTGTGTTCTGGTGTGAGCATGCCCAAAATACACACCAGAGGAAGGTTTTCTTTTAATGGATTTTTTCTTGAGAATAAGCAGCTACCAACAAATCATTCCAAATAGCACAGCTGAGGGATCCTCAGTTGGCCCTTTTATACACTGTTCATTAAAGGGTTAAATGTAACACAGTTAAGACTTTCCAATAGGTTACAGAAGTAAAAAGTTACAATGGCATGTCTTTCCTACTTGCATGCCAAAGATGTTCCAAAAGAGGGGGAGGAGGGGGTGCTTTTACATAGAAGAGGAGGAGGGTGGGGTAAGCTGGTGTGAATTGCCCTTTGTTTGAGCTGCTGTTACCCGTGAAGTGCCAGCTACATTTCAAGGATGCACACATGCAGATTTCTAGAAAAAAGTTTTTCTCAGGCCTGGTTATGTATCAGTGATTGCATGATTTAACCAATGAAAGTTAGACCTATTGATCTGTACATCAAGATGGCACAAAACCATGAAGTAGAAGCAATGTGTAACAATAATAATACATTAAAAACAACTATGCCACTTAAAACAGCAGGGTAAAACCATGAGAGTAACACTTCTCACTGGGTTCACCCATTTAAGTTCACCCCAAAACATTCCTAAAAGTAAAGGTCTTCATTGTGCAGGTACACAGGTGGTTTCCCTTGAAGATTTCAGTGGGCATTTCTCTGGATTAGGGTGGGTAAACATGGTAGCAGAATGAAACACAGAAATGAGAACTCCTGGGTCTAGTAACTGTTCATAGAATCATAGAATATAAGAGTTGGAAGGGGCCATGAAGGTCATCGAGTCCAACCCCCTGCTGTCATGATCCTCCTACATATCTAGGAAACTATTACAGATGTTTTGGTGTGAGACTTTGCATGCTGATCCACCTCAGGAGGGCATGTTCTGTGTCATTAATCACCAACTACAGCAAAATTGCAATCATACACACAGCCATCCCACTACTGACCTCTCTCACAGTAGGCAATTGTGAGCAACCAACACCAATAGGAAACGGAAAAGAGAATTACCGCTGCTTGAAGTCAGCATAGAGAATTCTGTTAGGAAACCCTTTCCTACAGATACGGATGCCTTCCAGCACACCATTACAGCGTAACTGATGCAGCACCAGGAAGGGGTCCATAGCTCCTGCATAAGGAAGGATGGAAGGAGGAAGGAAGGAAGGAAGGAAGGAAGGAAGGAAGAGCTCTGACACCTCTGAGCAGTACTGATGCTTCGAAAGCAATACAAATACTTCAGGAACTCAGCAAAAACAAAAAAACAAAACAAAAAACCCCAAAGTGTCTGCAGCTATGCAAGCCTATAGAAATGAGAACATAACAAACATAGATGAAATAAAATTAAAAGGTAGCATTAACAGAATGCAAAACAAGGTAGCACATATAAGCAATAAGACAGGAAAATAGATGCGTTTAAAGCCAAATTTTAAGGACTTTGATTCAGCTGAGTCTCATCAATGCTTAGGATATCAGCCTCGATACTAGCATGTTATTATTGTTACTATTTAAGTGTATCACTTCCCACCCCAAAACACAGTCTCAGAGTAGCTTACACAAACAATACAGAACTCCACTTAAATTGCATACATTCTATGCCAGTTCAAGTGTTTGCCAGGGAAAAGCTTAATATATAAACAACAACCAAAATAAACTGTGCACAGTTTTTCCCTGAATGTTCTCATCCATCACAGGCATCCTGTAGGGGTTTTTTTGCATCTGCATACCTGGAGTCTTTGTTTCATTGGGGATGATGCAACGGACAAAATGGGGTTGGGTGGCACGCAAATTGGTCATCAGTTTGTTCAGGTTTTCCTGAAAAGCAGGCATACAGGATTAAATTGCTTCACTGGCTCCTTCTCCATTTCTGAACACAGTTCAAAGTACAGTGTTTAACTTTTAAAGCACTATATGTTACAGCTAAGGCTGTTCAGCCAAAGTTTCTGAAGCACTTTGTTCTCCTACACAAACTTGCCCCATTGTTGTGATCCTCAGCTGAGGCCCTTTTCTGGGTGTCCCTGCCAGCAGAGAGCAGGCAAGTGGTTGGCTTGAGAAAGGGCCTTCTCAGGTGTGCTGACCCAACCCTAATACAGAATTCCCAGCCCAGGTGAGTCTGCCTGGTACCAGACTGAATGGCCCTTGAATACCTGGCAAAGCCCTTTTATTCTTAGCTGCTCTTTTACCTGCAGTACTTTGGTTTATTGTTTTATAGATAGCATGTTTGCATTATTGCACAATTATTATGTGTAACCTGTGAGCCCCATGGGACATTTTTAAATGAAATGTAAAGTTTAAAAGTTTTAGTTATGCTGTTTTCCCCTACTCTGGATGTGTCAAAGAGCAGTTGTGTGATCCTGTTTTCACTGGGCTTAGTTGCTAGAAAGATAAATAATGCCATCATAAGCTGAACAAGCCAGGTCCTCCTAGATCTGGCCAAGCAAGACTGCTGATGTTTATTTAATTCCAGTGCTGCACCAGACATATACAAAAGCA